CCTAGTATTAGCTAAGTTATTAACACTACCTAGCAAAGTATACCTATTAATAGGTATGCTCGCTAGGTACCCCCCCTTTTTTAACCTTTTCTAGCCTCTAGCTTATGTAGTTTAATAGTTATAACAAAACCCTCTACTACAGAAATGTAGAGGTAGTTTTTCTCTTTCTTTTAAGCCCTATTTCGCTAGAATCCATGTATTATTGACAAAGTTTTGGGGGGTACCCACGAAGGACGTTGGAGTATACCCATTCCGCCAGCCTAGTATATACTAGATAATTGTCTGCTCCTCTAGTATAGTAAGTTTCTAGCAATTAGCGCATATATCTAGTTAAAACGTGATATTGCAAAGGTGATTAGAGACCTACTAATAAGGTACGTTCAACGCTCTAGCAGTGCTGTAGATACTGCGAAATTAGCTAGCATAGAAGGCCTAGATAGTAAGGATAACTCTGCCTTCTCTAGTAGTATTCTAAAGTTGTTGTTATTAAGGCATGTTGTGTTAGGGTAAAAGGTGGTCGTGCTAAGAGAAAGTGGCCAGTTCAGTGATATGGCTGGCTTGGTGATAATCTACGTTAGTTGTAGTTGTAGTAACTTGTGTTAGTTGTGCTAAGAGAAAATGGCTAGTTCAGAGATATGGCTGGCTTGGTAATAATCTACGTTAGTGCAAAGTTATGTTAGTCTTAGTAGATTTTAACTAGTTTAGTGATATAACTAGCTCAGTGATAGAGTACGTTACAGCAATACAGTAACATTTCTCGCAATAATATCTTTTAGGTGTGGCTCTACAGCTTTATTTTTCTATTGTTAAGATCTTGTTGGGGTGGCTTATTAGCTGAACTGGCTCATCGGGCGCACGGCCACGGTGCCGTAAGCAGAGCTCGTAATGTTGCGGTATCAAGGACAAAATGTATAAACGAGTGTATTGTGTTGTTCTGTGTTCTTGTTCTGCTTGTATCTTTAACTCACCAAGGCTCGCTGCGGGATCTGTTTTGATGACGTGTTTGTGATGCAGCTGAGGCAAGAGGTGCTCAACAACATGAGGAAGCAAGCACCAGACCACCGCCAACAACACGTGATCTGCTTCTCCTCTCAACCGTTACACATAAGGATCCCTTCAGCCTCCACGAACGGGGAGCTGACCAGTGCAAGAGACATCGACAACTCGATCTCCGTCGCAAATGTGCACCCTAAAATGCCGTATCCTGCCTCGTATATCTGCCAGGAATGCGTGACGAAGCGCCAACGGTGAAGGAGCGGAAGCATTCAGCCGGTGTTGCAAACACTCAGCACCTTCCCCGCATCCAGGATGCATTTGATTGTGTGGACATCCGTCGTGCAGTTCGAACTAGTTTTGACAAGGTCGCATGTACCTAGGCGTTGTTGCATCGCAGAGCTTGCTGGCCTCCGGACTTTACTGCCAGGTTGTCCTCTGTCTGGGCCTCAGTCCGGCCCTTCGTCGAAGCCAGATCGTACGGCCCTTTCATACGGTGGCCACTCAGGCTCATCAGAGAGGCCTGGTCGCAACCAATCTGGACATACTAAGAGCGATCACCACGGGCATGACCACCTTCGAGACCACGACAAGCCTGGCAGGGATGGCAAGGACCGGCCATCTGGCCAGCCCTCAAAATCTTACGAGCTATCGCCTAAAAGCACGCCTTCAAACACTGCGACTTCTACACCGATGCAATCCAAGTCAGCAGAGTCGGTGGTGTCGAGTGGACCGAGGCTTACTCCTTTCCGGAGCCTGAGATATCCGCAGAGCTGGCTTACTGAGAAGCAGGCCCTTCCATTTTGAACAGGTTCAGCGAATAAGGGTAAAGACAACACTGGCTGGCACCGTATCATACATAGAGAGGCGTTTGGCGTATGGTGCTACTTTTCTCTTAGTCCAATGCATAAATGTTCTCACATCAGCGCGTCCCATCTGTGAGATTGCCATTCGAAACGTGTAAGTGATGTCGAATTCTATAAGACTAAATGCTTTGAGAAAATCAGGACCCCAAGCTACTAGTCCCACAAGATGTTTACCGCCCTTCTCCAACCCGTAGACTTCTGCTCCTCCGGTTCAGGATCTGCCGCAACCTGCTCCAGCGCCGCTCGAATCGGCACATCTGCCAGATCCACGAATTTCGTTCTCTTGATGATCTTCCAAAGCAAGAACGCCGCGATGACTAGCGGGATATCCAAGTATGAAGATACGAAGCTACTCGTCGACCATCCGCCTTTTGTGAAGTTCGAAAATCCACCCGTGAGTAGTATAGCGAGACACATGAAGAGCGCCACCGGTGACGAGTATGGAGTCCAGTTATTGTAGAAGGGAAGCTCGGTGCGGGAGATACCTTGCTTCTTCATCGCCATGGTGAGACGGATGTGGTTGAGCAAGATTGACGACCAGGACACAAGGACACCGGCCGCAGTGAGATCGACCAGCCACCAGAAGACTGTCATAGCGCTGTTCGAAAGCGCCATAAACGCGAGAAACATGAAGCAGGTGTTGAAGCAGACGCAGACGTAAGGCACGCCCCAGGAGCTGGTGCGGAGGAAGATCTTGGGTGCTTGACCTTTGATTGCTAGACCGTAGAGAACTCGGGTGCCAGAGAGGAGGGCTTGATTGGAGGATGACCAGGCGGAGGTGATGACTACGGCATTGACAACTGAGGGGATGGCTTTGATGCCGGCAGCTGAGGCGACGATGACGAAGGGACTCTGTGTTGCGTCGCCAGACTGGTCGTTGAGTCGCTCATCATCACTAGAAACAATCATACCGACAATGAGGACTACGATTTGTTAGTGTCACTTGAATAGACTGGCCCATCTAACCCGACTTACCTGCAAGGACGTAGAAGATCAACACTCGGGCAAAAACCTTCTTACAGGCTTTTGGGATATTCCGACGCGGATTCTGCGTCTCAGCTGCGGCCATTGCCAAACTTTCCACACCAGCGAAGCTGAACACAGCGTTCGTCATGACAGCCCAGTAGCCCAGGAACTGTCCCCACGGACCAGAAGCGATGTACTCGACAAATGGGCCTGGATGCTTCCAGTACCTGAACCCAATACGTTCCTGTCCCGGAATACCTCCAAGGTCGATGACCAATCCAAAGATGATCAGAAAAACAACAAGAAGGATCTTTAAGCAGGCGAAGAAGAATTCAATCTCTCCGTAAATGCCAACGAACGAGACGCCGACCACGAAGGTGATAACAATAAAGATACAGATCCAAATCGCGGGATTAAGATCTGTCCAATACTGGAAGAGCACGCAGATGGCGGAGATCTCTGCAGGGACAGACAGCAGATTGCCATAGACGATGTTCAATCCAATGGCAAACCCAAAAGCAGGGTCGACAAGGAAATCTGCGTGTCGAACAAAAGAACCAGTGACCGGAAGCAGCGCTGCGACTTCTCCCAAGGCGAACTGCACTGCGCAGACAATCATTCCAACTGTTGCGTAGCCCAGAAGCGCGCCGAGCGGACCGCCAGTCTGGATGGAACCGCCCAGTCCGAGGAAGAGCCCTGTTCCAATGGCACCAGCGATGGCTATCATCTGGATGTGGCGCTGGCGCAGACCTCGAGCGAGGCTGTTGTTCTCCAGCTCGGTGACGAAGTCGCCCTCGTGGTCACGGTGGCGGCTACACGAGGCCTCGAGGTCTGCGCCATGTGAAATGGTGGTGTTCACACCATAATCAAGATCGGATTTGCTCATTCTGCCGTTGGTGTTGCTTCCTCCCTTGGAAATTGCGATATCGTTCATCAGGCCGCTTGTGGTGCTGGAAGTGGGAAACGTGTCGTACTGGTTATGCGGCGCACTTGCATCAATCAAAGGCATATCATCATTGCCATTTCTGCAGTTCGAGTTCGGCCGTGTGCGACCAGCGCTAATGGGCATGCTCCAGATTTTGTACAGAGTCGACTGATTATGAAAAGGGCCGAGTTATTGCGTGCTCCGTATCTACTTACACGCGTCGTGCGCCAGAGTCCGCGAGCGGCGTCTATTGGGGTAGCGGGCGTGAGGCTCAAGAAGCTAGGGCAATGCCAGAATAAGCTTCGTGGCCGTCCTGGTGGGTGATAAGCCTCGGAAGACATTTCTGTTGGGTGGCGGAGAATTAAAAAGCGCCGAGGATGCGCCAATCTCGCACACGATTGCGTGACGACTAATGCGAAGACTGTAGGTTTTTTTTCTGATCTGTGTACCTACACTGGTGACAGAGATGCAATCGACAATCATGCCTCGCTCGTCTTGCTTCGCGGCTGTGCCAACGGTATCTGGTGAGGAAGTAGTGAGCATCAACACCGATGGGCCGCATGACCACTCGAACCTCGCACATCACAAGAGCCTGCCAGGTTCGCTACGATTGTATCATGATTATTAATCGAGTGATCCCACGGGAGGAAACATGAAATAGATCAGATACACACGAGAAGCAGCACTTTGCCCTTCACGAGGCATGCAGCACCCGCTGTGCGCCGAAGTTATTGTCAACTTCTGATAGATGATGGATTAGAACACCTGCGCCGATCCATATTTGCGCATGGATTTGGCATGCAGAAACATGCTTATCTGACAGCCTTACTCCACCACAGCTGATACCTTTGACCTGATTCACTGCTTACCCTCTGTACCTTCTCCTGAACGCAACCTCCACAGCGCAACAATCCCAAGCGATTGGGTCTATATACTCAGCCTACCTATGCACAGATATCGCAGGCTTCCGCACCACTAAGGTGCAGTCGTCGCCGAGAAGAGGAATCGCACAGCAGACTACCATTGCGTCCCCTAGCGACCCTTCAACTTTACAAACCACAATCCTTCTTCAAGCCCCTTCATTCCCAAATCTCCAGAGTTTCATGATCAGTCCTTTGCGCAGAGTATCCGGACGTCTCATGATGAGATCTTCCATCACGACAACACGATGGACGGGCCAAGCTCATGGCATGCATACTCTCCCGATAGTACCGACTGCTGAGCTATGGCGAAAAACGGGCCCGTAACCGCCAAGATAAGAAATCAAGTCAACACGCCTCCCCTTGGAATTGCAAAGTGGAGAGCTTTGCCAGAGTAAAGCGTCTGACGGGCAAGTGGTGGGTACTTCAAGTCACGTCGTGTACGCTCGTATCGATAGCCGTAGTTACAGACAAGTTAAGTCCATGACCAGAGCCACACCAATGCTCAATACGCCAACGAAAACGCCATACTATGCCATGCAATACATTCAGTCCGAACTTTGCCTTATAGACCAGCACCACCGCCGGCCCAGAACATATCATTTGGCTGGAACCCCTGGTCCTGCCTCGCAGGCGCCGCAGGAGCAGCAGCAGCCGGCGCAACAGGTGCTAATCCATTAGCCTGGAGATGTTGCAATTGTTGTCTCTGTCTCTCCTCCTCCTGTCTCCTCTGTCTCTGCGCGCGGTAATACAACAAGAATGCAAGCGCGCCACTGAGTGCAAGAATGACAAGCGATTCAAGAATGTCGGAATCGATTTCATCGCCGTAGTAGCCGTCGCCGCCGTCGATGTGGTCTTCATAGTCATCGGGCTCGTAGTCATCCCAGCCAGCGAGCTCGGCATCGAGGAAGGCGCTTATCCATTCAGAGAGGGAGAAGTCTTTCTTGACGGCTGGGGCATGTTAGTGGCTTCAGAGAGACACGAGAAGAGGAGTGACATACTAGGTTCATCCTGGATGGACTTGATCTTGCCGTTAGTGATGGTGTTCCACCAGCTGCGGAATCTGAGTTTATACAGAGCTAGTAGGACTGGTAGATGCGCTTCGCGAGGGTTGGTCTCAAGAGCGAGGTCATAATGTCTCTTCGCGAGATGGAAGTCCTGGTCAACGCCGATGCCGTTCTCGTGCATCCAGCCTAAATTCCACATCGATTGAGCGCTGCGCAGAGTCTCGGCTGCGGCTTGGTAGCACGCAGCCGCCTTCTCACGGTCCGGAGACGTTCCGAAGCCTTGGAGATAGTAGTCGCCCATCTTGACCATCGAGTCAACGTTCTTCTGCTCGGCCGAGCGGGTCCAGTAGATCAAAGCCAGGACGGCGTCACTGGCAAGACTCGCCTTTTTCTGCACGAACGGAATGAGCGAGCTAAGAGTGAACTTCGGCTTGACCTGGTCGAGCAGATACGCCACGTTAGCCTGTCCGACCTCAAAGCCCTGCTCGGCAGCCATCATGTAACGGACTAATGCCGTCTCAAGATCTCCGTTGCCGTACGCCTCGTTTGCCTCAGGGAAGGATGTCGAGATGAGTTCTGCCTTCTCGGCTACAATCTTGTAGTATGCAGAAGCAACATGGCAGGACTTATCGCGGCCAACACCGTGGTGTGCAAGCTCGGCCAGGTAGTAGTAAGCTTCAAGGTGTCCATGTCGGGCTGCCAAATCGAAGTACTTCATAGCAGTTGGGACGTCGCCCTGATCGAGGAAGAGTGCACCTAAGCGAACCTGAGCCACGGCCAAATCATCATCTGCGGCAGCACCGAATAGCTCGGCCGCCTTGACAGGATTCTTTGGTACACCAAGCCCCTTCAGGTACATGATGCCCATCGAGTACTGCGAAAGTGCGTCACCGTGCTCAATACCGCGCCTGAACCACGTTCTGGCAATGTCAAAGCTCTGGGGCATACCCTCACCACGGAGGAACATACGCCCAAGGTAGCCGGCTGCCTTCGCTGCCAACTTCTCGGTGAGCGGAGACACGTTCTGCTTTGTCTTGCCATTTTTGTCCCAGTACATGCGTGCAAGCTCCAAGAAGCGCTTCTTCGCAGCCGGTAGGTCTCGTTTTGAGGTCCTCGCTCCGTCGTAGTTTAGCTTAGCCAAGTTAAAGCTTGCTCTCGCATCGCCCTTCCTGGCTTGAAGATCCATATACTCCACCACATCGTCCAACGAAGAGTAGGCGTCTGAGTGAACACTCCCCGTCTTGGCGTTCGGTCCCGAGCTGCTTGCGCTTGCGCCCTCGCCGTAGACACCGCCCTCTTCATCGGCGATTCTGAACGACTCCCGTGGCATAGAATGCCCTCCTGGTGGGCCGGAGCGCATATACGCAACAGCCTTCTTGGCAACCTCCCGGTAGAAGTGCACAGCCTCGTCGCAATTCCTGGGCGTTGAAATACCAGAGGAGTGACGATAGGCAATCGTCATCTCTGATCGCACGTCGCCACCCTCAGCTGCTAAGGTATGGTATAACATTGCTCTCGCCTGGTCTTGCTCCACCACGCCTCCAATGCCAGTAGCGTACATGAACCCAACCATGTGCTGCGCCGAGGCATTTCCGTCGAGGGTCGCGAGTTCGTAGTATCGTCGAAAAGCTTCGGAGTAGTTGCGCGGGTGTGAGTAATTACCGTAGAAGTTCAGATCGGCGAGCGTGTAAATGGCATCTACGTTTTTCTGAGCGGCGGCAGCTTCCAGCAGCTTGACAGCTTGCGACAAGGGCTGGCTGAGTTTCTTCGATTGCGGGTTGGTCGTGAAAGGCTGCGATTCGTTGGGCCCATTCATGAACAGTAAGAAGAACAGTTCCTTCGCATAGTATGCGCTTGCTCCAATTATACCCGCATTCTTGTCAAAGTTGTACCAGGGCGTGGCCGCGGGCTTGACCTTGTGGAGTAATAAAGTCGCCTCTTCGAAGGCCGCATGACCCTTGCCCTGCTTTTCCCTCTCTTCTGTAGTGCCCCATTTTGACTTCCAAGCCGGCTGCTCCTCGGACTGTGCTGTTCCTGAAGGTGCTAACTTTCTCCCTAATGGTCTTTGCTGCGCATGCGCATCGCTGCCGCCGTACTGTGCTGTCGTAAAGGAAAGAAGTGTCGCTAGAATGACTGCGATTCTAGGGGTCAGTCAGGATGCTATCGTAGTGCTCAGGGTGCAGACTTACCAAAGAAGAGCGGCACAAGCCGCTGCCATCGTGGCCTCATCTTTCTGGTAGGGAATCGTAAATTTGTATTGAGGTTGAAATGGTCATTGCGACATCTCCCGGATTCGAAAACAGTCAGAGGGGTTCGCCACAGGCGTCGTGGTAAGATTGTTTGCTTGAGGCCAGCTTTCCACTGACGAGGTCGATCGACGGGTATGCCGCTAAGTACCTCTTAACGATCCAATCACCGGTTACATCACCACAACAGCTGTCAACGGCCCAACACGTAGTCGCATAGCACGCTCCCGCAGTTGTGAATTCAGATAGTATGTTCGGAGACAGTATTAGTTAGAGCTTGGAATCGATCATGAATTACGGAATAGCTCTGCCAATGAAGTTGCCTACTGCTGTCAAACCTCGGGAGCTCCTGCCGCATTTGTCATCGCAGCGGCAAGTAAACTTCGTCATCACGACGAACTCTAGTTCAAGGCACGCGACGCTTCTTCCCACGACGTATCTCAGTCCTGCCAATTGATATCCTTGTTCCTTCATTCGGCTCCGACACGATGCCTATGCGGCGGGACCGGTACTATCGCAGCGTTCGAGAGCGAACGCCGCTCTTGCGTCGAATCACAGAAGAACCTGGAGCTGTGATTCGCGGGTCCATCTCGAGTGCACTGGAAGGACTTCGGCATGATGAAGAACAACCCATATCGAAAACCCGTGGAGGCTTTATTATAGCATCCATTGGACTACTCATCTTCTTGCAAGGTACTTTTTTCTTCTGTTTCTCTACATTTCCATTTGTAGCCTATGTGCGCATTTCGATGCTGTTTAATTCTTCCAAATACCCGAGGTCGTGTCTGATGGTGCAGCTACTCACTCTGTCTTGAGTGCAATCTTGAATCGCAGTAGCTAATACGTCCCTAGCTACAAACATGTCGATCCTGACCACCACTCAATCCGCCATCGCAGCAGACCTGGATGCATTCGACAATGTAACATGGCTCACTTCATCATACTTGATCGCCATGTCTTCTCTTGCTCCCCTGATGGGTCGATTGTCTCAGGTCTTTAGTCCTAGACTTTGCATGTTCATCTCGACAGTCATCATCGCCGCTGGAACACTCATCATTGCTACCTCAACGACGTTCGAAATGTTCATCGTCGGTCGCGTCATCTCAGGAGCAGGTGCTAGTGGTATCTTCATCGTTGCTAGTATCATAACCATTCAGATGACCAGCCCAGAACGTCGTGGCCTGTTCATTGGCCTTGTGAACACCAGCATGACTGCAGGTGTATCGCTCGGCGCTGTCATTGCTGGAGCACTGGAGTCCAAGGTTGGATGGGTAAGTAATGCCTTTCGGCTGATAGAATGCAAAGCTGACGCCTCTAGAAACCGCTCTTCGGTGTCCAGTCTCCACTGTGCCTCCTCGCTGGACTTGGACTTCTCCTTGCGATTCCGGTCAACTACGCCTCACAAGGCAACAAACATGTTCAGTACACCTTCAAGCAGAAGCTTGCGCGGATTGATTACTCTGGAGCCCTGTTACTTGTCGTCACCATCGTCCTATTCCTCTTTGCTTTGTCGGGCCCCAGTGTTCTTCCGTATCCCCTCGCACTGTCCGCATTTTCACTGCCGTTGTTCGTTATGAATGAAATTTACGTCGCAAAAGACCCCGTCATCCCAGTCAACGTCATGAGGTCGCGAGGCACATTGCTCACCTGCCTGGCTACCGTTGGTGCCATGATGGCCAGATGGGCAGTCCTCTTCTATACGCCAGTGTATGCTCTTGCTGTTCGCGAATGGGTCCCTGCAGCTGCTGGATCCATCCTCATCCCTACCAACGCCGGTTTTGCAGCTGGTGGTATTCTCGCTGGAGTGTACCACATCAAGCGCGAAGGAAGCTTCTACGCACACAGCGTCATCTCCATGGCGCTTTGGCCCATCACCATGGCTTTCATTGCTCTCACCTCCACAACTACGAGTAGCATGGCGCTGTACATGCTCCTGGTATTTCTCAATGGTCTTATCACCGGCGCTGCGCTCAACTATACCCTGGTACATCTCTTACACTTGACGTTGCCAGAGCTTCACCCCATCATCATCTCCTTGCTTGCAACATTTCGTGGCTTTGCGGGTAGTTTTGGTTCGGCGATTGGCGGCGGTCTCTTCGGTCGTGTCTTGTATCGCTCGCTCGTGGACGGTTTCGCGAACGCAGGCCTGACTCATCGCGATGATCTGTTGAGAAAGCTCTTGGGTAGCCCTGCTCTAGTCGGTCAGCTTGAAGGCGCAGAGAGGGATGTCGCTGTCGGTGCCTACCAGGACGCCATCAAGGCTCTGTTCTTCGCGGCCACCGGACTGGCCGTAGTCGTTACGCTGGTCCAAGCTTGCACCGGCTGGAAGAAACCATTGCCAAAGACTAAGCTGGATCCCGAGGAGACCATTGCGGGCGAGGAGGGGGCTATTGGAGGAATCTAGACAGTAGCTGCACACAAAACGATGGCTCGAGAAAAGAGAAGGGTTGAATCAAGCAATCTCAGACACAGCTGAACGGCGGCAAGCACATTTGCCAGGCCGAAGCCACGTATCCAAGACGAAGATGTCCAACCTCTACGTCAGCACATTGAGTGTCTGCATATTAACAGACTTTACGAGCTCCGTAGAAGGCTTCCAAACCAAACAGTTATATTGGCATGCAGGAAACCGCGACCTACACGGTCTTCTTGGACTGGCCAATCAGTGTCAAATCTCTCTCTCATCCTCATCCTCATCGTCTCTTGTCAAGGGACCTGCTGTTGGGATTCGCCTCGCCGTCGCATGATGTGCCATCGCCCCCCACTGGCTGCGCACGGGGCTTGTTGTTGCTCGCGCCTGCCTTCTATAAGGTTCTCCCACTGAGCTCCAACCATCACGGCTGCCCTCACCTGCCAAAATCGACTTTCGACAGCAATTTCGGCAGTCTGCTTCACGAGCTGACAGTAGTCGTCCTGAATCTACGTAGCAGCAGTCTCTCGCTTTTCGACTTGTAGGTGTGTCCCTACATTATTACACCCACTGTTTGTTTACCTCGCAAGCTGCTTATCCCACAAACAATTTCGTCATTCTCCAAACCGAGACTCTTCCATCTCTGGTGGCTACAGCGATCTCCTTATAGAACTGTTTGAAGCGCGCGCTTGCTTTATTTAACGCACTGTCAACCATCACTTCACTACTTGACTCGAAGCTAACGCTCTCCCAGCTTTCCTGGCATCAGCAGCAACAGCAATTATGGGGCGGGCTCCAGTCCTTACCTTGCCTCCGGGCATGGCTTCGAACCCCTACCATCTGGGAAAGGAGAAGATCGGTCAGACGACACTCTGCGAGCTCTGCGACCGTGTCCTCAACTCTAGGGACTGGCCAGCGCACAAGAACTCCAAGGGCCACCGCAACAAGGAACAGGCCGAGAAAGATAAGGAGAACTCCAAGAACATCAGCAACGGCGCCGACACTTGGGGTGGTGACAGCTCCGGCTTCACACCTGGTGGCGGCTTCGACCTCGCATCTCCAGACTCTGGCAACGACGCTTGGGGCAACTCTGGCTCTGGCAACGACTTCGGTACCTCTAGCTACGGCAACAAGACTGGCGGCGGCGGTGGAGGTGACCGTGCTTGCTTCGGCTGTGGAGATGTTGGCCACCGCAAGGCAGATTGTCCCAAGGGCGGCTCGGGTGGCGGCCAAGCTTGCTTCAACTGCGGTTTAGATGGGTGCGTTCCACACTCTCATCACTGATCAATGATTGCTGACTTCCTCCCAGCCACCGCAAAGCCGACTGTATCGAGCCCCTCAAGTCTCGAGCTGGCGGCGGCGGTGGAGGTCGCGCCTGCTTCAACTGTCTTCAACCAGGTCACATGGTGTCCGAGTGTCCTGAGCCGCGCGTGGTCCGCTGCCGCAACTGTGACGCTGAGGGTCATCTTGGCCGTGACTGCCCCAAGCCTAAGGACTGGAGCCGCGTCAAGTGCACGAACTGCTCTCGGAATGGCCACGGCGCGAAGCGCTGCCCTGAGCCCGTCGTCGACTCCTACGGTGGTGGTGACAACGGTTGGGCCGACTCTGGCGCCACTACTGGTGGCATGGACAACGCTGGCGCTGGCGATGCAGCTACTGCTGGTGGTTGGGCTGGTGACGACTTTGGCAGTGGCGGAGGTACTCAAGAGTCCTGGGCTGACCAGGCCGCTGCAGAGGCTCAGTGGTCTTAAGGACTGCCATTCACGACTTCACACACACATGGTTGACACATCGACCTTGCTGGATGCGACTGCACGTCAGAGTATCGAGGAGGTGGTCAAGATACGGATGAAGGGATCATGATGGAAGGATGAGGAACTGGTACCTCATACCTGAGCGGGCGCTCAATGCGATACAGTGTTGCTGGCTTCGCGTCAATGCTTCGCACAGCAAAGCTGGATCAGGGACATGTACACCAGGTAAAGTCGAGATAACAACAGTTGGATCTCGTAGACTCCTCTTGCAATGTGAGTTGCAAGTTCCCTTCACTGATAGTGAATCTTATTGATAGTGAATCTTGACTGATAGTGAGTCTTGACTGATAGTGAACCTTGACTGATAGTGAACCTTGATTGATACAAAACTCGCACAAGGCTTTTTCAGATGATGTGTCAGCAGCACCTGACCGAGGTCGCCGCACTTGCCGAATCAAGGAACGCACAATGTGTGGGGTTGGTCGCGGAAACAAGAACGAAAGACTCGACTCGCCAGGTGTCCCATGTTGTGCCTGAGACGGCAGCCCAAACGACAAATGCTATGGACCAAACAGGGCGGTTGTGGCAGCTGCGTAGCGTCTCGCCAGGCATGGCGCTGCTTTGCTCATGGCATTCGTGCCCTCATGCATGTTTGGCCTACTAAGGGCGCACAGTGGCATTGCGTTGTATCTTGCTTACCTGCTGGCGGGACGAGGACTCGACGTGGTGGAGCACAGGCGGCCAGTGGCTCAACTGCGTTCACATGCACCACCATGGCATGCCTTGTTCGCTGTCAGAATGTGTGCGAGTGCGCTGTAACACATCCGCCCAATCGACGCCGATGCAGCCGCAGCGGTGCAGCGTGCGACGGATGCGCAGGCCTCGAGTCGTCCCGCTGCTGCCCGCGTCGAGTCGCCTCGCTGCTTCAGGCCGCCTAGGACAGCAGTGAGTGGCCGCCGGGCTGTCTGGCAACCGGGATTGGAGCGCATGGTGGACCCTGGTCTAGAAGTGCAGCCGTGAGGATCTTTGACAGAGTGTGGGTGGTCCCTGGAACGAGAGGGTGCGAGTTGGCGGTGAGTTATGCGGATGCTATATCCCGTGGTGTCGCTGCCCCTTTGCTGGCGCACGCCTGCCGCCGCCTGCCTACCCTTTGTCCAAGTTGTCTAACGAGGTTGTTGCTATTCCTATCGTGCATCCTACGTGCGGTTGTGTGCAGACCAGGTCCCGACCGTCTCCCTGTCACAACGGTGGCGGCGCTCCCGACTCTAATCTCCCAGCAGAACTAGGGCCCTGCAGCCTCGCCAACCTCGCATACCCTCCGGACACTTGGTCTGCAGAGCGCGCATCCTCACGACTCAGCGGCGGCGACACTCTCACAGCACCGATCCGAGACTTGCTCAGGCAGTACGGTCAGCTGGATTCCTTGAAGCTCGTTTGACTACGGAAGCCGACAGCGGCGCATTTCAGCGGGTCACGCCTCTCGTCTCCAGTCAGCACTCCTCCCAGAGAAGGCGCGAGACAGCACCAGCACGCTTCAGCGCAGCGCCTGCTTGCCAGCGCCAATCGAGCAACACCGCGCGACAAAGACGGCCACTCTTCGTCGCACGCACATCTGCGCACCCACACGACGACGTTCACCCGCGCACCTACACGACGACGCTCACTCGCACACTCGTGGGCACACCGCCACAACCGCAGCCATGCACCGCAAAAACCCCATCTCGGTCCTCGTCTACAACTACCTCTTCCCCTCGCCGTCCCCCACAGACCCGCCCTCGTTCTCGGCCCACCTCTCCAAGAACCTCGTTGGTGAAGTCCGCATCGAGACCGCCAACTTCTACGGCTCGCTCGACACGATCGAAGCACGATATCCCGGACTGAACTACGCCCACGGCCCGCACCGGAAACGGCTCGGCCGGTTTCCACACCACAGACGGCTTTTTGGCGCCTTTGACGCGCTTGGCCTCACGGAGAGCGAGATGCAGGGGTTCTGCAGGTGGGAGGGGACACTGTGGGCACGTGAGCGGTATGAGCGCGACGAGGGCGTCAAGGTGGTGGACACGACGGGGATGGAGATCGGGGCGTGGGTCGACAACCGCGCGGCGCGACTGGGCCGGAAGGGGATCAAGGTCAAGACGCACATTGAGGTGGAGATCGAGCGCGTCTCTGCGTCTGCGGACTTGCACGCGGATTCGCACGCCGACTCGCCGCCGCTGCAGGCCCAGCAGCACACGACACAGGAGCAGAGGGACACGGAGATGCCGGACACGGAGAGCGACAACGACTCGGACGACGCGCAAGACGACGTGGGCGAGAGCGTGGGGTTCGAGCTCAACGCGCGCCTGCTGCACGCGGCGGCTCTGCGCGACCAGGGCAACAACGTGCCCATGGATCCAGAGTGGGAGGCGTATCTGAAGGAGGCACAGGAGCGGGGCGAGCTGAACATGGACGCCACGCGCGAGGCGCTGCGCACCATGGCCGGCCACCTCGTCAACAGCCAGATGCTGTCGCTGGGCGCGGCGGCCGCAACGGCTGCAGACGCGGGCCAGGACCGCGCGCAGGCGTTGCAGCACCCTGCCGCGCCGGCTTAGCAGATTGTTGGCGTTGTTGTTCCTTATCACTTGGCTTGCGATGGCATGCACGGCGTTTTCTGCACTATAGAGGCGTTTGGGCGCGCATACATGGGGGAGAGGTGGGGGGGGGCCTTTTTTTTTTGAATACCCGGGCCAGGGTTGCTTCTGGGCTGGGCAAATGCATGGCATGGCATTGCGCTGCGTGTACATAGACTGGGTTGGATTGGGTTCGGTTGGATTGGGTGGGTTTGATGGGTTTTTAGGCTGGCACCGTCACTGTTGCATGGTTGGCTGGCGCTGTAGTCGTAATTGAGCATGCATTCTGCGGCGTCTGTCGTTGCAAGTTGTTCGTTGCTGCGTTATTCGTGGATGGTCGTCGTGCTATTCTATTCCGGTGCCGTGAGGCTCGCTCAGGCGGGGTGGCTGAGTGTCTAAGGCTCGTGTCTGCCTCTGTGCCTGCGTATCGTCGTCTCTCCATGCTGTCCTCGCTCACTGTCCCCGCTTACTGTCCCCGCTCACTGTCCCTGCTCACTGTCCCCGCTCACTGTCTCTGCTCACTGTCTCTGCTCACTGTCTCTGCTCACTGTCCCAACCGCCTCCCCGCACCCCCAAGGCCAGACGGCGCAGCGCCCTTCTTCGCGCCCCGCGTCGCCCTTCCGCTGCCCCCCTCCTGGTCAATATCCATGGCGTCGTCGTCCCCGTACCCACCGCCCCGCATCTCCGGCGCCCGCTTCCCCGCGCCCCTTTCGTCGCTGGTCTGCACCTCGACCGCGCGCTCCCTCTTGCGCCGCAGCTTCTCGCGCTGCACCGCGTCGCGCTTGACGCGCTCGACCTGTGCGTCGAGATCGGCCAGCGCTGCGTCGCACCGCCCGCTCCAGGCGGCCAGGGTGCTCTGCAGGCGCGGCAGGGCGCCCGGCGCCAGGTCGCGCAGGGGCGCAATCGACGTCACGCTCACGCGGCTGTGGGCCGGGTCCAGCGTCGCCGTCAGCAGGCCCGCGTAGATGGCGGTTGTGATGAGCTCTTCCAGCGCGCGGGGCGTGGGCAGGTCGAGCGCGGCCTGCAGGCGAGCGTATGTGAGCGTGGCGTGGGCGTGGCTGAGCGGCAGCAGCGAGAGCAGCAGCAGCTTCTGGTGCTGCGGGGCCGAGAGCTTGGGCAGCCCGGCGTGTGCTACGGGGGGCTGTTAGTCGCGATTGCAGTGCGCGGGTGGGCGCGACGCACTCTTGTAGTCGGCCCAGGTGCCCCAGGCGAACACCTCCAGCAGCGTCAGGTAGGAAGCGTGCTCGGGCGAGCTGCGCAGGCTTTGGATGTTGGGCGTCTGCAGCAGCTCGGCGAAAACATATGTGTTTGGTGCGCTGGTCGCCTGCACGACGAGGTCCGAGGCGGCGCGCGGCGATGTCGCGGACTTGCTGAGGGCGAGGAAGGGTTCGAGCGCGTTGAGCGCCTTGGTCTGCTCCATCTTGGGCCCGGCAGCTTCGGGCAGCTCAGGCGGCACGCGGGCAGGCAGCTGTGGTTGTGGCGATAGCAAGCTGTGGTTGTGGCGATAGCAAGCTGTGGTTGTGGCGTTAGCAAGCTGTGGTTGTGGCGGTAGCAAGCTGTGGTGTGTGTTGATGGCGTAGGCAGCTGTAGCGCTTGGCGGGGCTGCCGCGGAGGAAGCCTGATGCCTGCCCCACTCTCTCCCGCCAGCTCGCCCAGTGCGACTAGACTGATTCGGCCATGTCTCTATTCGTGTTCCTGAACATCCGAATTGGCGAGGATTGTGTTTCACGCACGGTACCCTGTACCTGAGGCTCTCCGGTCCTTGAAACCTGCTCGTTGGTCATTCAATATTGCGAGACATCCGGGACGACAGCCCGGGTGGACGCGAAAACCTGAGGCTGTCGTCGTCTCAGCCCGGCATCGTCTGCGCATTCGAGGACCTTCCCGTTTCAGCTCGCCGAGTGCAAACACTCTCTCCGCCGCAGCTGGCTGCGCTGTGGCGGCGGTATAAGCGTACAGGACATCTACCTGTGCATTTTGATCTCTCCTCATCCCAATCCCCCCAGTACACCAATACACGGTTCGACAACGTGACAACGTGACACGACAAGTGCTCAGCCCGTGGCGTTCCATTCATAGCACTTCCAATCACACGATTACGGGATTCTCGTTGTCCCCACCCAACCGGCCCGGACGCGTGGTGTCTAATTCAGCGCCGGAACTGCCGGTCTGCCTGGCGACACATTAATCTATTCGGCCATTACGAATCGCAGCAGACCGCGCTGCGCTGACACGCCGACTTGCGTACGCCCTCTGGGGCCCACGAGAACACGAAGAAGGGACACTTACAGCACCAGCGCGAGCCGCTTCACACACGTGCCATGGCTCCCACGAACAGCGCCACGGCGCACATGGCGACGACGACGCTGAAGGTCGAGGGCATGACATGCGGCGCATGTACTTCGGCCATCGAGACGGGCTTCCACGGCGTCGCAGGAGTCGGGAACGTGTCCATCAGCCTCGTCATGGAGCGCGCCGTCATCTCTCACGACCCGGACGTGATATCTGCCGACGACGTCAAGGAGATCATCGAGGACAGGGGCTTCGATGCCGAGGTGCTGTCGACGGACCTGCCCGTCTCGCACAACGCCGACGACCACTTCCTGACCGATTCCGAGGACGAAGAGGACGGCCTGCTGGCGAACGACGGCTTATCGACGACCACACTCTCCGTGGGCGGCATGACATGTGGCGCCTGCACTTCGGCGGTGGAGGGTGCGTTCAAGGACGTAGCGGGGATCAAGTCGTTTAGCATATCGCTGCTGTCAGAACGCGCCGTTATCGAGCACTGGACCAAGATCATCACGCCGGACCAGCTGGCCGAGACAATAGAGGACGTTGGGTTCGACGCAGAGGTGCTGGAAACCGTTGCTGACGTACCTGCGCCGAAGAAGACCAAGGGCGCGAAGAAATCGAGGACCATGACGACAACCGTCGCAGTCGAGGGCATGACCTGTGGTGCTTGCACGTCTGCCATCGAGGGCGGCTTCAAGGACGTGCCTGGAGTGTACCAGTTCAACATCAGCCTGCTTGCAAACCGCGCCGTGCTCGTTCACGATCCTTCAAAGCTCAGTGCGGAGAAGATCGCGGAGACCATCGAAGACTGCGGGTTCGACGCTACGATTCTGTCCTCGGAAGATGCCAGCATGCACCAGTCCTCGTCGACCAATGCGCCCATACACCTCAAGATCTACGGTCTGCCAGACATCGAGGCTGCGCAGGAGCTAGAGGGGCTGCTCAGGAACCGATCTGGCATCACCTCCGTACAGATCAACTTCGCTACTTCGAGAGCCATCGTCAGGCGCGAGCCCCAGGTCATTGGGCTACGAGCCGTAGTCGAAGCCATCGAAGCCGCAGGCTACAACGCTCTGGTCTCGGACTCTGACGACAACAACGCCCAACTCGAGTCCCTTGCCAAGACAAAGGAGATCCAGGAGTGGAGACGAGCAGTCGTCTTCTCGGCTTGGTTCGCCTTCCCAGTCTTCCTCACCAGCATGATCTTCCCCATGTTTCTGCCATTCCTCGACTACGGAAGAATCAGAATCATACCTGGTCTCTACCTTGGCGACATCGTCTGCCTTGCTCTCACCATCCCGGTGCAGTTTGGCATTGGCAAGCGTTTCTACATCTCTGCGTACAAGTCTCTCAGCCACGGATCGCCGACCATGGACGTCCTGGTCGTTCTTGGCACCTCAGCCGCCTTTTTCTTTAGCATCGCATCCATGCTTGTTTCCATCTTCGTACCTCCCCACACCAAGCCTACCACGCTCTTCGACACCAGCACTATGCTGTTCACATTCATCAGCTTGGGCCGCTTCCTCGAAAACCGTGCAAAGGGTCAAACTTCAAAGGCGCTGTCGCGGCTCATGTCTCTCGCACCCTCCATGGCTACCATCTATGCTGATCCCATCGCTGCCGCCAAGGCCGCTGAAGGCTGGGACGCCGTCGACGAGAAGGACGGCCGTCCTTCGATGGACGTCAATGCTGCCGAAGAGCGCGTAATTGCTACCGAGCTTATCGAGGTCGGCGATGTTGTCATCCTCCGTCCCGGCGACAAGATCCCTGCTGATGGTACAGTAACCCGTGGCGAGTCCTACATCGACGAGAGCATGGTCACTGGTGAAGCTATGCCTATCTTGAAGAAGAAGGGGGCACTCCTTATGGCCGGTACCGTCAATGGTGCAGCCCGCATGGAGTTCATCGTCACTCGCGCTGGTCGTGACACCCAGCTCAGTCAGATCGTTCGTCTTGTACAGGAGGCTCAGACCAGCCGAGCCCCGATCCAACGTCTTGCCGACACCGTCGCCGGATACTTCGTTCCCATCATCATTACACTTGGTCTCGCCACGTTTGTTGCCTGGATGGTGTTGAGCCACGTCCTGCCCTACCCACCCAAGGTCTTCCTCAACCACGCCAGCGGTGGTAAGCTCATGGTCTGCGTCAAGCTCTGCATCGCCGTCATCGTCTTCGCGTGTCCCTGCGCCCTCGGTCTCGCAACGCCCACCGCCGTCATGGTCGGCACTGGTGTCGGCGCCGAGCAGGGCATTCTGGTCAAGGGCGGCGCCGCCCTCGAGACCGCCACCAAGATCAATCACATCGTCTTCGACAAGACGGGCACCCTCACAGTCGGCAAGATGAGCGTCTCGCGCGCCGACATCCAGGGCGAATGGGCCGCCAAGAAGAACCTCTGGTGGACGCTCATCGGGCTCGCGGAAATGGGCTCCGAGCACCCCATCGCCAAAGCCGTCGTCGGCTCCGCAAAAGAGCACCTCCGCCTAGGCCCCGACGGCATCCTCGACGGCGCAGTTGGCGACTTCGAAGCCGTAGTCGGCAAAGGCATAACCGCCAACGTCGAAGCCGCCGTCTCGGGTCCAAGGACACGCTACAAGGTCCTCATCGGCAACGCAACCTTCCTGCTCGCCAACGGCGTCGTCGTCCCCGACCTCCTCGACGAGCCGCTCACACCCAACCCTGTCGCTCGCTCCACCCAGACCCGCTCAGCAGGCATCACCACCATCCACACCGCCATCGGCACGACCTACACCGGCGCACTCTCACTCTCCGATACCATCAAGCCCTCGGCACGCGCCACGGTCAACGCGCTCAAGCGCCTCGGCATCACATGCAGCATCGTGACAGGCGACACGTCAGCCAGCGCTCTCGTAGTCGCCGCCGCCGTCGGCATCGACAACGCCTCGGTGCACGCCTCAGCCACGCCCTCGGACAAGAAAGCAATCGTCTCGGACATGCAAGCGCGCGGTCTGTGCGTCGGCATGGTCGGCGACGGGATCAACGACTCGCCCGCCCTCGCGAGCGCAGACATGGGCATCGCGCTCAGCACCGGCACAGACGTAGCCATGGAAGCCGCATCCATCGTGCTCATGAGCACCACGGACCTGCTCGCCATCCCCGCCAGCCTGTGCCTCTCGCGCAGCATCTTCCGCCGCATCAAGCTCAATCTCGCCTGGGCGTGTATGTACAACTTCATCGGCCTGCCATTCGCAATGGGCTTCTTTCTGCCCTGGGGGCTGAGTCTGCATCCCATGGCCGCTGGCGCCGCTATGGCTTGCTCCTCCGTCAGCGTCGTGCTGAGCTCGCTGCACCTCAAGTTCTGGACCCGCCCGCGCTGGATGACGCTCGCAGCGCTGGATCCGAGCGCGGAGCTGCCGGAGGGCATGGAGAGGCAGGATTTCCAACGACCTGGCGTCTTTGCTGTGGCGAGGGAGTGGGTCGGCGACTCTTGGGCTGCGTGGGGGAGGAACAGGGAGGAGGCGCGCTATGTGCCGTTGCAGGACATGGGGGAGCGGTGATGGAGTGTTGTGCATGTTGCCGTGTTCCGTGTCGTAGATTAGCCGTTTTGTTTTGATCGCGTTGGTTAGCGATACCTTATCTCCTTGTTGTTTAATCTAGAGAACTGTGCGGGTCGCTGTATATGCCAATCGACTCTATCGTCATCACGCTTGCGTCCTTGTTGATTTCACTCCATGTTATTGCTCAAGACTGCTTTCGCCAGCCTTACCGCTCGCGCAAATACGATGTACTGGCGTTGTTGACGAGTGGTGGGCACAGAATGCACCTTGCTCCATTCAAGCCCTCTCGTTGAAATAGCCTATGGAAGCCAGCGATCGACCTTCCTCCATCTCCACATAGTCTTTTCCTTCGCCATCTGGCGGCGTGAGTAAGAGATATCCAACGCTTGGTTGGGCTCGCACAGCTTCGTAGCAGAGTCACCGTTGTCCTGGCTAGCTACTAGCGAACCTCAAGGCTGAGCTTCCCTCCGGATCCTGAGCGGCCATGCCAGCGACAGCGAACGACGTGCTGAGGATCGACTGTGTTTCCGAAGGCGAGCTTGCTTGCGGGACTCGAGGCGCAGTTTCTCACCAGGGCCTGCATGATCTTGCCACTGGCAACGGTCGAGCTTGGTGATGCGCTCGCAGCTCGTTTGATCCTGTGGTTGCCGGCGAGCCAAAGACGGCAGAACATCGAACAGAGAATTCACATTGTAGCTACGCTTATCCCGTACCTGAGATCTGAAGTTGTCGATGTTTTTCGTCATTGTGGTCCAATACATCAGAAAGTGTTACTGAGGTCCAGTACTGGTATTGGCATACACATATTTGATGCAATGTCCCGCCGTCTTCACCTCTGCTACAAATAGCTCATACAGCATGTCGATGTTCCTGTTACCTAGCTCAGATATGCCGCGGAAGTCGGCGAATACACAGCCCTTGCACAGTAGCTCAGCCGAGAGACAGAGGTTGACAGCCTTGTCTGGGTCTTTCGTGTTCTTTGGCCTACCTATTTGTAGCCCGCCATAGAAGACATCGAAATTCACATCTATGTCGCCCTCGATATCAAGGCGCTGCTGGTGTTCATTGATCAAGGGGCTTGCAGGATCCATGGCTGCGGCAAAGAACGCCGAGTGAAACTCTAGCAACTTGCGGAACAAGATGTAGTCTTTAGTGTTGATCTGGGTTCGTCTGTGACGCGAACAGTGACGGTTTCGCGATGATCGAACGAGGAGCTGTCGTTATGTCCGCCTTGTTGGATCGATGAAGGAGACTCATATCGACGCAGCTGCAGCGGGACTTTTGCAGACGGAAAGATCCGCTGGATGAAGACGTTGAATATTGGCTCCATAACAGTTTTATTAACTGCAGTCGATCAAGTGTTACGTGCCAGGTGTGGTGGGTCGTTGAGGAGGGAGAGCGTTTTATCAAATATCCAACAGGCTAGCGCGGAAAGTCAGAGTGAAGGCCGTATGCTCGATCACAGGCTTTGCTAAGCGCTCTTCACCTTTAATTACGAGTACAGGCAGGCCACAACAACGCTACCTTGTGACACTTGCTCCTAGTCTGCTTAAGCTACGGATCTTCCAGACCTGGGCGACTGTATCGCAGTCCATTGTAGTTCGAACGATGCTAGATGTGGAACCAGCTCCTTGTCAAGGTCTGGGCGCATCATGAATGAGCCATCGATTGGTTCATCACCTCCTGAGTGCCCAGCGCTGTTGTGACCAGATCCATCCTCTTCTGCTGGTAGAATCTTCACTCTGCTTCGTTGCCTCTGGCGCATGACGACTAGAGTTACCCGTACGACAATAGCGAATCCAAGGATCGCTCCGAGTACACCACCGACGATTGCGGCGTTCGAGTATGAGGCGGTGACTCTATGTCCGTCCGACAGCAGCGGCGATAACGATGGCGTAGCAGCTGCATTGTTCGCATTATATCACCCCAGACTGAACTTTGGAACACTCACTTGGATCGACGATAAGTTCAGGTAGCAGTGGCTTTCCTTCCATAAACGCAGCTCCTGGACTTGCGCACAAGCCGTGACCGTTGATATTATATCCTTGCGTGCCGTTTGCGCAGCAGAAATACGCGCCGAGCTCGTACAAAGCTCAAGACGTATTTGCACACAATCGCTCGGGCATACAGTCAGTGCGTGGAGGGCAGCATCTGAAGGTTCCTGTGCCCTGACAGGTGAGACGACTTGGGCAGCAAGGAGAGAGGGGTGTGAAGGTGTCTCTCGCGCAGTTGAACTCTATTTCGGGGAGGCAGGAGCCATTACGGATGACGGCAGCGCCTTGTTGGATTCTGACCGCCTCGTCTGGCCAGTGGCGAGGACTGGGAGGACCTTTGGCTTGTTAATATTGCGTGCTGACGCTTGCTTCGGATCGCTCACCGTTACCCAGAGGAAGAATCGGTGCTGGATTTGCTGGAGGTTGCATGTCCGCCGGACGCGAGTCAGAAGTCATTCCTGTTCTTTTGTTCTTTGCGAAAGTGTCGCTGCGACACTGCGACTGCTCAAGGCAGGAGGGTCGAGCTTTATGGAACAGAGCATTAGGTTCGGTACTGTACCACAGCGAAAGTCACACACGCGGCAGTGCAACAACTTGCGCGACGGAAAGAGGTCGTGCTCGATGAATGTAGATGCGATGGATATCGACTGTGAGGAAGAGAGATAAGACGGGGCGGAGCAGTTGCAATGAAACTTATTGTAGAAGGTGCAAACAAGACGCTAAATCAACATGAACACATGTAACAGATGACTGGCGTACTGTATTACTTGTCCATCAAAATAGTAACGAACCCAACTTTCCTCAGATGTTCCTTTGACTGTTCGCATACGCCTGGCCAAAAAAGGCAGGTGGAAGCAGCCTCGCGCTGCGCTTTGGTTCGGGCTGCTGTTTAACTAATAACAACATGGATGGAAACTGCTACTCGCGTGCTTGGAATCGGCATTGGACAAGAGCCTGTTGTCTTCTCCTTGGTATGGTCGAAGTTTCCCAGCATCGCGATGGCGACGTGATCAGGCACTCGACGTGGGCGTTCAGCTATCAGCAGTAGCGTATACCAGCACGAGTTCCCATCTTGAGGCCGCAGCTTTGTAGAACTCAGGTCTGGCACTTCAAGGTATCAGACCGTCTCCTTTCTTGGTCCAATCTGGTGTCGGTGAGTCGATTTTCGGCGTTGTAACTTGTGGCAACAGGCTCTTCATCATATAGACCAGATCAGCGGCTTTAAACGGCTTCTGCATCACTCTGTCTGCGCCAGCTTCCATGGCAGTATCGATCTGCTCCTTCCTGACATTTGCTGTGACAGCAATGATCGGCAACCGGTCTCCCCCTCTTGCATCCAGCTTCATAGCTTCTCCAAGCAGCCCCTCTTCCGTGTTCTCTTTCTCTCGAATCTTGCGCATCGCAGCCAGGCCATCAAGGACAGGCATTTCCAGATCCATGAGCACGACATCGAATTTGTCTTTCTCCAGTGCACCAAGAGCCTCTAGACCATGGTTTGCGACACTGACGACGCAACCCGCCTTCTTGAGCTGTTTGCTCAGAACTTTCTGGTTGATGAGATTGTCCTCGACAAGAAGCACTTGCAATGCTTGCTGCGTCCTTTTCTTCGCGCCGAACTCACTATCCATCTCGCCCATAGTCTGCGGTCTTCGTTCTGCCCTTCTAGTCTTTACGTAGAACCCGAATGTCGACCCTTCACCGAGCACAGATGAGACACCAATCTCTCCGCCTTGCTTCTCGGTCAAGTCATTCGAGATAAATAGGCCAAGGCCGCTGCCACCGTATTTGATGTGCGTCTTGACATTTGCTTGTTTAAAACGCTCAAAGATGTTGCGTATTTCTTTGTTCTTGAGACCGATTCCAGTGTCTTTAACGCTGAATGCGAGATAGACTTCTTCTCCATTGCCCCATTCTGGGCTGCTCGTGACACTGTTGTCAAGATTACTAGTCGTGGCCCAGAACATGTCGGGAGGGAAGAGTGAGCGAGGGCTATGGAGACAGGCGCCGAAGTGGACCTCGATGCGGGGGCTGCTGGACGGCTTCACAAACTTGATGGCATTGGTGAGAAGATTAATGAAGACTTGCGTGACGCGAGATGGGTCTAACAAGAGGTGATCAATGTTGAGTCTTGCCAGAGACTGGTCGTCGAAGATGCTGTAGTCGATTTTGTTGCTTTTCAGTTCGGCCTCGAATATGTTGACAATCGAAGTGACTAATTTGGCAGGCTTGACAGGCGTGGGAGTGATCGATAGTAGCATAGAGTCAAGCTTGCTAAGGGTGAGAACATCGTCGATGATGCGTTTCTGGTGGTTAGCGCACTGTAGGATAATGTTTGCTGACGCGATGTTATCGTTCAGTGCGTCTAGGCACGGCCCCGGGATATTTGTAAGCCGTGCCTGGCATTCTTCGATCACAGACGTGATGGCATCTGCGCAATGAACGATGGCGCCCAACGGGTTGCGCATCTCGTGCGATACAACGTCAATGAACGCTTCTTGTTGCCGCTTGGCCTCGCGTGCCTCTGCAGCCAGTCGAGCCTGGAAGCTTTGCGCCCACTTCAGCCTGGATATATCAGTAGTACAGGCCATGATAGACTTAGTCGCGCCGTTCTCGCGGTAAGGAAATGCCATGATGTGGATGTGAGCCGGCTCAGGCTCACCAAGAGGTGGCTTATACTGACGTTTCATGCGCAACTCGGCCGTGACATGATCCTCACCAGCTAGAAGCTCCTCCCAGATGCCTACCGCCTTGTATTGGTCGCTGTCATAGCATGCATCCAGGAAAGCAAAAGGCCCTGTGTGTTGGGCTGCGTTGTTTCCAGCTAGCTCGTAGTAGTGATCGTTCGCCCATAACATGTCTCCTTCGAGCGAAACATGGCACATACCCACTGACGCGTGATTGATCAGGTGTCGAAGCTTTAGATCGCTGAAAGCCAAGTCTGCTTCCAATTGTTCCTGGCGTCTCTTGGAAGATTCAGAATGAAAGGCGGATGATATCAAGCTTGATACCATACGCTTGAGGTCTCGGTGGAATTGCTCGCAGTGCATATCTGGGTACGGTCGGTAGGGGTTTGTTCCGACAACAAGGTATCCAAAGAGGCGCACACCGTTGGTCAACGGCAGAATGATGATTTTCTTTGCGCACTCATGCCAACCTTGCCAGTCGACTCCATCAAATCGCTTATCGCAGTCGATTGCCAGGATCTCGACACCAGCGCTTAAAAGATCAGGAGCCAGCCCTTCTTCATCTTCAATCAGTATATTGTCTGCAAGTAGGCTGTGGCCCTCTGGGATACCAATCTGCCCTTCCAGGCTCAATATGCTTGCTTTCGTATCATCGTGTATCCTGTACAATAGCGCCATGGGCACATCGTTTGCATTCGTCTTGAGGGTCGCGAGGACATGATCAAAGACGGAGTCGACAGTCATGCTCGGAACTACAGTAAGAGCATTCAGCAGCATTGTGCGGCGATCGTCCAACTTTTGTTGAGTGACTTCAAACAAGGAATTGTAGAAACCCTCCGGCGCATACGCAGGACCCACTGGGACGAAGTTGCCGCTGAAGAAAGTCTCTTCTCGCCATCCTTTGCGCTCTATTAGTAGTGATGCTTCTGAAGAGTAATCCACGCCTGCAGCTGTTTTTCTGCACCGCTCGAAGAATGGCTTTATCTCAGTCCAGAGCTCGGGATAGCCTTGCTGGAGGGTCGAGCCCATGAGTTTGGGGTGGGCTTTGCATGCGAGTGGCGCATAGCGTTCGTTGTAAATGGCGACTAGGTCTGGGCCCCTGTTCAAGTCAGTAAGGCATGTGTGGACCGGAGAAGTCGAAAGGGTACCTACCACCATAAGCAAGCTGCACGAGAATCGGCCAACACAAAGCCTGTGAGGAGTCGCAACGTAGAAGACCATGTGCCCACGGGCCCCAGTTTGCTCTTGCTCCAGTCCGTATCTCTGAAAAATCGTACATGGTCGGTTTGGGGTAGGTCTTCAGTCCAGTCGTGCTCAGCCGCATGCGAGCCCATGATCACCAAGGTCGAAACATCTCCGCTCCCAGGCGGCGGAGTATGCTGTTGGCTGCGCTGAGTGATGCCATCCATGAGACGGTACGGCGACCATAATAACACGGCAGGAGTGTCTGTCGTGAGTGATGCGACACCAACATCTTCAAGAGCCGGCACGCCGCAAATAGTATTGGGACCGGTCCTCTGCTTAGTACCACAGCCCCGGCGCGAAACACGCGGGCTTTCGTCGGTGCAACTTACTCTGGTGCCGCGCGCCCGTGCTTTGGCCTTCACGCACCAGCAGACTTTCCGACCGGTACCGGTAGCGAAGCCTCGACACGGCACAACCCTTTTACCTTCGCAAGGTTCATGGTCTAAGAAAGCCACTGCAGCCTGATTGCACTGCATGGCTCCCACCTCTTAATTGCGATGTTGATATCGGAGGTGCCGTCAGCGCACGCGAATCGCCAGTGGTCTTACCATCAATCCAGACAGTCTGGTACGCGAACAAAGCACGTAGGACCCATAGTAAGGCTGGTCATCAAATCGCGGGGGCACTAATAGCTCTAGGTCGCCTTGTAGCAATAAGTCTTGATTCCCAACAAATATCCACGGGCAGTGTACAAGACAGGTTCTGCACGAAAGCATCAGGCTACATACTAGTTGCCGCATGCAAACGTGTCCAAGAGCACACCTGACAGTAGACCCAACGGCCGGCTACCGGTAGCTGTTGAGGCTCTGTGAGCAGTCTGTCGCTGCAGGAGAGCGCAAGATTCCGACGTCATGCCGGAGTAGCTGATCGATCGCATCTCAAACCTGCAAGACCAGATCGTAGCGCACGGAATGCACGATCCACGAAATACGCTCTCCGCGGCCCATCAAGCATTTGATACCCGAAGTATCGGTAAAGCTTCTCTTAGTCGTATGTTTGACTTCGGTTAACGTACGTTACCGTAACTATGTGAAACCTACAAATCTTTTTCTAGGAAAATCAAAAATAGGTTAACGTTAACTGTAGATAGTAAATGCATGGCATCTGAAGTTTCCCCAAAGAGCTACACGTTTCGGTTACTTGCAGGTTGTGCATCTTTAGTAGAAGTTTTACTCTCACATGTCTAGTAGGGCTCCACTTGTACACCGGAGGGCTGTGCAGGCATACCCGTACAGCTTCTGAAGCGATGTACACGCGAGAGACCCCTTCTTGACCGCCCCGAGAATAGCTTTGTAAATGATGCAAAACAATATTGAATCGCCAATTACAAGGCGCTCAATGCTAGGCAAGCCGCACTTCAGACGACCAACTTAATCGAAGTACTCATACGTACTCCTAGTGTGTAACATCGCAGTGTTGTCGCTGCACATCAGATCGCCCTGCTCCCAGCTGAACCTTAAGCAGGATCGCCAATCATAAATGCCTATATTGATGACGTCGATCAATGCTTGATCCTCGTTCTCGATGAACACACCGCACGTGGAGTACTTGGTCTTGTTCCAAGGCTCGTGCCAGCGAAGGCAAGGCTCACCAGTCGCCGGGTGCCTGACAACCAACTTGAGCTTTTCCTGGTCTTGTTTCCAGAAACCGGTGTTGTGCGTGCCCCAGGTCACAGGTTCAGGGCGCTCGACCGACCATGGAGGTGAGAGGTAGCGGAAGAAAAGATGCGATGCGGTAAAGAGGATGCAGCCGCTGCCCTTGGGCGCAGTGGCAATGCAGGTGAAGTACTGATAGCCCGGTGGGTTTAGCATCTTAGTGACCGCGCCAGTCACAGGGTTGGTGACATCTTTGTATTTGGAGATGCCGTCGAAGTGCATGGGCATGGCCTCCTTTGATATGACATTGTTAGCGTTCTTATCATCCTTGCCAACATCTTTGACCACAGACATGACACCGTACTGTGGCCAGACGAGGTTCTCGCCAAGTTCGTTCGCGCTGTTGATGAACGTATCCCTCTCGGTGATATTGGAGAACCCACGGAGAATAATTGGCGAGAAGGTATTCGTCAACGTGCAGACCTTCTTCATGGGAATGGTGGTCATAGAAGGAGCACCAGCTGCAGGACGAATGATGAGACCCGACGGGTACAGATGCTCGAAGGTGACATCGCAGTTGTCAGCGCTCCAGTCGAAGAGATCTGACTTCGCGCGGAAGAAGTATGGCCGGCCGTTGTGGTGTATGAGCTCGTACTTGTCCACGCCAACTGTGCGCCTCTGTACAGAACGATAGCTTCCGTCCAGCTCGGCAACGACCACAGAGTGCCAGGGGGTGGCTCCGAGCGCGCCTCGTTGCTTCTGGGGAATGAGAGCCATCGAAAGCTTGTTTCTGCCTTCAGAGTCGTGGATTGAAAGACGAACGTAGTCGGTACGGTTCACTTCAAGCGCAGCTGCGAATACCTTCCAACGGCCCATCATCGCTTTCGCGGTCTCTGAGATGGTGACTGCCTGCTCTTCCGGAGACTGTGCCAGCCACGTCTTGTTCAGCAAAAGATCCGACTTCAAGAACTCCAGATACTTGGTTTGTGTCAGCTGCATGTCACTGCTGGACTTCTTGGCCATATCAGCTTCGAATTGTGAATCACCGTACCGTGCCGTCAGCTCCTGCCGGATATCCGACGCGTTTGCGAGATAGTGCTCTTTTGACTAGGTGCCCGGAGTACCGAGCAGGCCCCACAAGCGCAGGAAGCTAAGGTGGTGCAGGTCATTCTCGAATGTGATCTGGCAGACAGCCTCTCCAAAGTTTCAGACATCTTCGTCAGAAACACCAAGCAGGTCTGGGTTACCAGTCAGTCCATGCTCAGCACTCATGTCAAGAAACGTACCATTGTACACCAAGCCGTCAGATGTGATGTGAACTTCAGCTCCATGCCCATATACTGCCTTGGTGTTCTCGCAAAGTCCATTGAGATGCTTCAAGGCGAACTTTTCTCCAAGATCGGGCAGATTGCTTAGGACCTTGTCCCTTGAATTGGGCGACTTGAAAGGAAAGCCAGGGAGAAGCATCTTGATGGGCTCTCCGCTTGTGACCTGACCCAATAAGAGAGGAAAGAAAGTCTCGAAACCATCCCATGACCCTGTGCGCTCATAGTTCAGGCCGTACTGTTAGATGATCCTGAGAGCCTTGGTGGCGATCACCTCATTCTGGCTTGGGGCTTTGTCTTCCGAGACTGAGAGGTCAATAATCTCTGTAGTCACGACTTGAACAGCTACTGCTTCATTGGCCTTCTTGTCAACCATCGTGATCGCCTGTGGTATCTGGACTGAAGTCATGTTGAAAGAAGAAAACGAGCTAAAAAATAAGAACAAAGACGTGTGCTTAAAAAGATGTGGAAAGTGGAGTTAGTTCAGGGCACTGCTTGACGACCAGCATTCAGGATATGTCTTCGAGTAATATGACAGCCGTGTTGGTGGTTTGCGGCGCGACTGCAGTCTTACCCAGTTCAATTCGTAGAACGGCTCAGCCGCAACGCCTCGCTACCTAGGTAAATGTTCGCCTGAGAAGCGGCGGGGGACGATGGCCTATCGCTGCGCTGGAGCTAAAAGTATGCACACTCAGACCGCAAGGCCTTAGACACTACGTAGCAGGTACCACTGTCGTAGAGTCCATCTACATGGGTTGTGAAGTTGTCGGAGGCTGCGCTGCTGCAGATGCTATTCGGGTTGCGGCTCAGCCTCTCAGCCTCTCCTGATCCTTCCCCAGCTAAAATTGGCCACGTTTAGCCAACCTTGTCGATTAACTTCTTCAGCCTCCATGGACGTAACCTGCGAACTATGTCTACGGTTTTTAGCTACACATCTTGAGCAAGACCGTATCGAAAGTGTCTCGAGAAGAGCAAGATGGGCGCGCGGGATTGGCTTCAAGAGCATAAAGTAAAGGCCAGAGTAAGCAGGCTACTGCCGGACCTCTGCAAGCACATTTCCTGTTATACCGTGCTGCATGTCTCACTACTCATCGATAACGTTGTCAGACTTCCGACATCCTTCGCGTGCATCCCCCTATCCTCCACGGTCGATGCTGAGGCTCTTTTCACAACCAACCGACTCGCGGAAATAGCAACTAGCACGACCCAAGCAATTCGATAGGACCGCCTCTTGAACCCTAAGGAAGATTGGCCTGTCTCTCAAGTGAAAGCATATATCGCCATAGGCAAGAGTTCCAGCTGGCTTGCACACCGTTGAGATGATGCTGTGCCACCATCCAGGATTCAGACAGCGGCTAGATAACCAACGGCCGTTTGCTAGAACCGACAGAAGGGTGCAGGTGGGCAACATTGTCTCATTCATTAATATGAGAGAAAGCAGATCATTATGAAAGAAGCGGTGAACCTCTTGATCGTTTGACTCCCCCAGGGCGCTATAAAGCACAGTTGCTTCTTTTGATGCAACTTGAAGCTTAATTAAATTGCATGTATGAATCGTTCGACAGTCGACGACAGAACGCCGGACCATCGTCCGCGGCAACCGCAGGAGAGGCTGGTGGCTCACGGTTGTCAAGACGGGATCCCAATGAATTTGAAACAAAGCGTCAACAACCCGACCGTCGTGTCTGGGGTGGCTTGATTTTGGCGAAGCGGCACGCGAGCGCAATCGAGATGCTCTGCAATCAATCGCAACGGTAACGCAGGAGGCATAGCACAAGGAGAAAAAGCAACAAATCGCGTACCCCGCGCTCCAATTGCCGTCAGGCCGAGTTTCTCCTTGGTTCCCGGGTCGAAAGTCGGATGCGAAAAAGCGGGCCTCCGGTAGCACGAGATGCAACAAAGGAGATGCGGGCCACGCCGAAGGCAAGGACACATGTTTGCAGCCTGTCAAACGTTGGCGCGTCGCGTACCGCGAAGCTGATCATCTTGATTCGACGCTAGATTCGCGGCGGGCCTATGCACGTGATCATGGTGGAATAGCGGCCGTTGTTCGCGCCTCAGACCTCAATGTCTTCACTGACAATTCCACTCGTTGTCGAGCCCGCCCGTATCGATATACCTCAAGTTCAGGCCGGTTGAGCCTGCGAATTGCTTCCGGATGTCACCTTATGCCATGTCCAAGGCTCAAATGCCGGGTGTTCCTGCTGGCTCGGCTGGCGTAGATCCCGCTTACTGGACCCACGAGCTGTCGAACGGCTCTTTGTCTCCACGGACATTGCAGCCGTCACCAGAGAGTTACTCGTCAACGCACGGCAGCGTGTCGCAAAGTATCACGCCTACTGCGCAGACACCACAATCTGATAACAGTCGAAAGAACTCATCTGTGGAGAACGAACAGCAAAATGTATCGAAAAGCAAGGCTGCCGCCGACGCCAGTCAAAGAGCGTCTGTCGCCGTTGCGTGTGTACCATGCCGTAGCCGGCATTTGAAGTGCGATGGTGGTGTACGCTGTTCACGGTGTCGAGCAGATAGTGTCGAATGTACCTACATCAAGTCACGGCGTGGTTGGAAGGGCAAGAGGAAGAACAAGCCAGAAGATCAACAGGTCTCGCCAGTCGCCATTAACGGCGCGCAACAACTTCAACCCATCAACAATGGCCATATGGTCAGTCCTAGTGCTATGGTCGCTCCCAGTGCTCAACTATCATCGCCTAACTCCTACTACAACGGCGAAATAGCAAACTTGCACCAACTCAGCCCAAACAATGGCCTCGGCGCTCAGCAATCAATGCCTCCACCGGCTGCTCCCCCGCAACTGAATCTTAATGGCACCCAAAGATTGAACAAATTTGGACAAATTGGCCCCGAGAATGCGATACAAGCGTTCTATCACTACTTTTACAACGCACATCCCTTCTGCTTACCGGAACCAAGACTTATGGAGGTTTTTCACCAAAGGAAGGCACCATTGCTCGAGATTGCGGTACAATACCTTGGCTCAAGTTACCTGCCTGCGATTCCCACAGCCATGTACAAAGAAGCTTTGGACCGACATATCGACAGCGGTAGTTACGCAAGAGATGGCTGGTCGGTGCAGGCATTGGTGCTATATTCAATTGGCCTTCACGCCAACAACGAAGTGCCACGAGCTGCTCAAATCTTTGCCATCGCGCAGGATCTGACACTGGAAGTTGGGCTCAACCGCATGGAGTACGCTCTGATGCATGGAGAGTCAAACCCACAACTCGAAGAGAGCTGGCGGCGAACGTGGTGGGGAATATACTGCGCGAACGGCATGCTCTGTGCCGTCAACCCCGGTGTCCAATTCAAACTCAAAGACATCCTCACAGACGTCCCACTACCATGTGATAACGACCAATACTTTTCAGGTGTAAGTATCCTTCCGCCTTGGCATCTCTTCCTTCCTGGTCCATAGTCTCGGCCCGTCAGACCGCTACTCCAGGTCCCTCCCCCCAGCAAGGCCTCAATACGAGGTCCTTGAGCTCTAATCTGCCACACTCACTGCATAGCTATCATGTCATCATCTCTTGAGTCTACGCTAACTTCCCATAGCACATCCCCTATCCTGCCAGCCTCCAAGACTACGACGACTCAGCCTTTATGCCCTCTATCCCCGTCTACTCATCCTACACCTACCTTATCGACGCTATCCGCATCCTAGGCAAAGTCTTCGAATGCGCCCGCCTCGACTCGGCCTTCGAATACCACGCCGTTGACGTTGTCGATCAGTACCTAATAAACTGGCGTCTGCACCTCCCCGTGAATAAACTCGACATCATCAACAAGGACGGGTCGGTCGACGAAGTGCTGTTCCAGGCGCACATGGTCAACGCAGGAAGCACGATCATGTTGCACCGACCGCGGAGCAATCTGGGCTTTGGCCGCGTCGAAGGGGTGAACATATGCGTGCAGCCGGGGCAAGTGCTGTTGCCAACGCAGACGCGGGAGATTCACACGGCGAAGTGTCTCACCTCCGCCGAGAACATCTCGTCGTTGATACGCCTTCCAGGGCAACTGCTGAACCACACGCCCTTCTTCACGTGTGTCGTGGTCATGGCCAGCGTCGTGCACCTTTCGTACTGGTCCTTCCTGGTTCCGGACGGCCAAGACGATATCCTCAAGCAGTCAATTCGCCTCGATGTTGGCACGCTGCAGCAGTACAGCAACACGTGGCCAATTGCGAGCGTAGTGCTGAGTCAAGTGCGGGGCGTGGCGCACACGCTGTTCAACAGCAAGAAAGCGATGAGTATTCACTTGTGGAGCAATATTGCGCAGGGCGATGTGATCAGAGATGTAATTGAAGAGGGAGGTAGTGTGCCGCCGCAGCAGTATGCGCAGTTGATTGCTCCGTAAGTCTCGTTCCACCTGTGCTGATACCAGGGCCGCGCTGATAACGTTTGCAGGATGCTGAAGTCGTAGAGCGTCTACGAGCGCGCTGCGCATAGAACAACGCATAGGCATTACAGTGCCGTTCTTCAGTTCGCTCAGCTGCAACCGCGTTACTTAGCATGCACTATTACAATACCACTTGGGCGTTCCATGTCCTTCTGGTCAGCAGGCGCAGAAAAACAGCAACGAGAATACAATTTACGGTGTAAACAAGTCGTAAATGTTGTCTAATGAGGTGCGGTCATCGATTGAAGCAGTTTGCGTATCGCAGACAGAACCCAGTATTGTAGTCCCCTGTTACCACTCAAACATGACATCAAAGCGTATTTGTCCTGTTCACTCGATCACTTGGTGCACGGTGAGACAAAGCCGTTGAAACCAAAGTCGTCTAATGTATTCGTTCATCGGAAAGGCCAGCTAGCCTGGCGCCCCGGTTCGATACTCCTCCATCATTCATTGCCCGTCTTCATTTTCGCTTAGAATGTCCGGAGCTCATGATGCTGCCCAATCGACTTATTTCAGATCGCTAAATTCCGTAAACCATGTCGTGCACCCATTATTGCGCGCGAGCCATGCGGGAGGACTCGACGCGAGTTGATCGTCGTATCTACAAGTCGGCATCATCCTCATCGGGCAGGGGCATCTGGGCGGCGTCCTGCATCTCCTTTTGGTACTGCTCGAGAACAGCCTGGTCGACCTGGACCTCGGGAGGAGCCAGAGCGGGGGCGGCGACAAATTCCTGATTTGCATTAGCTGCGTTCTCATCCGTCTTGCGCATTAGCATCATACCAGGGTCTGGTTGCCGACGAGTTTCCTGGCAAGCCAGAGGAAGGGCTTCTCGAAGTTGTAGTTCGACTTGGCGGAGATGTCGTAGTACTGGAGGTTCTTCTTGCGGTGGAAGGTGATGGACTTGGCCTTGACCTTGCGCTCCTTGACGTCGACCTTGTTACCGGTCAGGACGATGGGGATGTTCTCGCAAACACGGACGAGGTCACCTGCGGGTGGTTAGCAAAAAGTTTCGCGGTTGCAGGCGCAATGACGTACGGTGCCAGTTGGGAACATTCTTGTATGTGATACGCGAAGTAACATCGAACATGATGATACCGCACTGTCCGTTGATGTAGTATCCATCACGGAGACCACCGAACTTCTCCTGACCGGCTGTGTCCCAGACGTCGAACTGGATCTGTCCAAGGTTCTGGCGCTCGTTAGTAAATCCTTTCGCGCGATCGAAGAAGTCGATAAACGTACGGTAGTGAAACCGAGAGGGTGGACCTCGACACCGAGGGTCGCAATGTACTTCTTCTCGAACTCTCCAGTCAAATGGCGCTTGACGAAGGTGGTCTATGGGTAAAGCTGTCAGCTGTTGTTCTCGGATCGCCTTGTTTGCCAAGCTGTTGGGCGCTCTCTGCTGCGCAGAATATCCTCAATATAGCGTGGAGGGCCTCAACACACCTTTCCTGTTCCACCGTCACCGACAAGCACAAGCTTGAAGGTAGGGACGGTGCCGCTTGCTTCGGCCATGATCGCGGTCTGTTGTGGTGGGGTATGTGGTGTGAAATGCGCAAAGTCTGGTAGAGTCGAAAGGTCAGCGGCGGTCGGTGAAAGCAGCGCCAAAAATTGGCAGGGGAGCAGGCGGACGCACCTCTTTAGTAGAGAGTGGGGAAGAGAGGGACGGGTTGAGTGGAGGGGCAATGAAGAGGTTGTTTTGAAGATTTGGATGTTGGCGGCGGGCGGTCAGGGATCGCTAGCTGGCCGGTGCCACTTTCCCTCGTTGGTCAGTCACTTTCCTCAGCAACGTCAGTTGCCGACCACAGGCAAAGGCAGCCCTTTATTAGGCATTTAGGCACCGACTGAGCTGGCTTGTCTCAGAAATCAAGCAGTGAATCACTCCACGGGTAAGGATCTAGCGCAGTTTGTGACAAAGCCTCTTTCATTCTGAGATGCAGTGAATTGAACGCCAGATAACATGCTTGTTGTTCCAAACCTAATGCGCCACGCAGCAAGCACTGTTGTTCGCAGCGCAGCCTGGAGGCCCTCACACGAGCCATCGACTCAACCACCGCCACGCTTTGTGTCCAGAGGTACTAAGCCTCCACGTCATTCCCTATCGATAACTTTGCTGCAGTGGAGACCTCCTCGATCGATGATGAAGTTTACAACGGCAGTAAGTGGCAGCCCAACAAGCCTCGTCCGCCCCAATTGCTCCGCGGCGTAAGCTGCATCTGTATAGTCTCCGCTGGGCTGCCTGAGCTGCTGGGCCGCAGAGCTTTGACCGTGATAGGGATCTAGCATTGTCAGCATTAGGTACACTGCTACACGCGCGCCTTGCAGTCCACAGCTTTGCGAGGCTGTGTTGCTGCCAGCACAGCGCACTGGAGGTACTCACCCCCTCATTCTGCGACACAGCCTCGGCCACGCGCCCGAGTCGTTCGTGGTTTGTCCAGTCCACCCAGCCGAACTTCGTTATGCTGTCGCCCACCTTCAGACCCGCCTCGTGCGCTGGGCTTCCGGCGACTACGCTATTGACTTTTGCGAATGGTGCCTCCAAGGCCGCTGGAGGTGCGCTCTGTTCTGCTTGGGTTTGGCTTGCGGCCGTCAAGTTGTTCTGCGCCTGCTCTGCTAGCCGTGCGTGGTGCTCATGGAGACCCTTCTCGATGCGTGACATGAGGTCATTGTAGTCGTTCTTTAGCCGTATGATGCGCGCTCGAGTTGTTCGTACTGTTCTCGTGTCAGAACTGGTTTCGCGGGTGACATGTTCACGGTGGCGCATACTTTGAGGGACATCGATGTCGCTGCGAGGAAAGCCATCGAAGGTGGTGAGCCCGGTGTTCATGTTAACGCCATGCTACATTACATGTATTAGTCGGTCGCTCTGTTCCTACATGTTCTTGACGTACAGAATCCAGGACTTGCCCGAGAGCTTTCAGCTCCGCTTCAACCCGGTCCTTCTCCGCAATGAGCTCCTGCAACGAGAGCTGCTCCTTTGGCACTCCATTGGTGTAGCCTCCAGAGACTGGGCCCGAAGAGACAGTAGGCGCGTGGATGTTGTCCATCATGCACGTAGTGGTATCACGGATCCATGAGGTTGACGCTACCAGAGAACTGCAGGCGTGGGGGTGGGGAGCTCGAAGACGCGTTCAGAGGCTACGGTAACGCGGGGTTCGCGTCGAACAGCTCCTCGTGCTGCTCCTTGCACTCCCATCACACCGCACCCACCTGCTTGACTATAAGGGTCCACAGAATATGTGCATCATCTTGTAGCTTTGATGGAACAACTCTTGAATCGGTAGCGTCCTTTCGAGCACTGCGCGAGGTGCTGGTGTAGAGACTTTTCGCCGCATGACGAGTTGCTCCTTCCACTTGCGTTGCCATGCGGCTCCACGCGCGTCCCATGGACCCTTCAGCAACTTCAACCACGCCAGCGGTCCCTACGCACCTGTGTGATGCTGAAGTGGCCCTTCTATGCGTCATGGTCAAACTTGACCCCTCGTACAAGTCTTTGCTCTTTCCCGTAATACGCCCAGTGCTTTCTGCTCCAGCAGCCGTACACCGTAATGCTGCGCTTGTTTACTCCGATGCTCCTTAGCAATCTCGTCTCTCCTTCAGCCGCTGCATCGCTGCAGCTCTATTCATCTCACATGCCATTCCACTCTCCCGTACTCCACCTATAACAGTGCCACAAGCACTTTCGACGTCGGTATGGCCTACGTGCTGTCACTGCGGCCTCACAGTCCACTCAAGCGGTCCTTCAGCGATAATCCTTACCTTCAGTCATGCTCACCATTGAAGGAGCCTTTCCTTGGGCCACTTGGCGACGTCACCGCTCGCAATACATCCGCGTGCTCACTGTACACGCTCAGTTCGAACAGGTCCAACATCTGGAACATTGGGAACGAGAACACACCACCTCTCGCGTCTCAGTCCCTGCTCAACCTCGTACCGGAGAGCCATATATACGACTTCGGGTCACAGCATGGTGGTCATGTACCGCGAAAACGCAACTGCGGAGGGAATCGAATAGCGCCGTCAATACCACGCACTACAGCCCCATCAAAACCTTTCTCCAGGAAGGCGCCTGACTTACAGCATAAGATTGAGTCCTCATCGAGTAGTGAGAGCTCTTCAGAGAGCATGGGCGTTGATGACAGCAATATCGAAGAGTCGGAATTGTTCAACCTGTACGAAGCCATTCACGTGCCTCTGCCTGAGGGACGATTCTCTGACAACAGTGGCGTCGAGCAACGTGATGTCCCAGCTGCTGCTCCAGAAACCCTGCAATCCGAGACGCAACCTTTTCGCCGCTGGATGAGTACCCTGCGTCGGCGACACCTTCATCGACGCAAGAAACAAGAGCTATCTTTCGATGCTGGCGAAGAGTTGCTTGCTGTTCGATCACCACGGTTAACGGACGCAACCTCAGCACGAAGGACCTCGGAGTCGATAACATCTTCCATGGGCTTCGTCACGAATGTCAAGACTACGTCAGTCACAGTTGCAAGCACCAGCATCGCGCCCATGTCCGAGAGGGCGGCGCACAAGACGACTCGCTTTGGCAACCGGAGCAGTAACACCGACGCCCGTCGATCGTTCGACAGTAATCGCGGCGGGCTTGGTCCAGTGCTCGACGAGAGCGCATGGCTGAGGTCACTCCAGCGCCGCAAGGTGGTGGAAGAACTGATGGCCTCAGAAGAAAGCTACATCGCTGACCTGAAGGTCCTCATCAACGTGAGACAAGCTTTCGCAATATTGGATTCTACCAGCTGACGAGTATCACAGGACTACTTCATGATTCTTACCGCTCTTCCTGCATTGCCTGGCCAGACCAAGTCATCCATACAGCAGAACATAGCCCAGATTTTGCAACTCCACGAGGATCTCCTTGCAGAGCTCCAACAAGCTGTCCCGCAAGCGGACTTCACCAAGAGTGCACAGCAAGAGGCCTATCCTGTAACGAAAGCAAAGCACATTCGATTTCACAGCGCAGACATCATACCTGGTCGCTTAGGCGAGCACAGAGCCACTCGACGATTGAGGCATTCTCTTGAGATTGGTCGCTCACCAGACAGGCGACCGCGAGGCCTGGTCACTGACACTACAACGGTCGGCAACATCGCGAAGATATTTAATCGACACGTAAGCTCCTAAGATCGCCGAACTTCCGGCTCAACTGACCCTGTCCAGATGAAGCGATTCTTCACATATGAAGAGTACGGTGCGCATTGGACAACGATGTCCTCGGATCTTACTTTGATGTGCAAAGGACTGCACGGGTGGCAAGAGTATGAACGAGGAGTCGAAGCCTTGCAGAAAATCGTCGCTTCCGAAAACAACCGCGAGTCTGGCAGCAAGAAGGCGCTAAGCTTTCCCGATCTATTAATCAAGGTCAGTATGATCTCCGCGACATTTGTATCTCACTGACAACCATGTCTTAGCCTATCCAGAGGGTCTGCAAGTATCCCCTACTGTTTGACGATCTCTGCCGCCAGACACCTGTTTGTGACGACCCCGAGGCTCACGCCGAGTTGGAGAAAGCCCTGTTTCGGTTACAGGAAACGATCCGCGAAGTCAACAAAGCCAAAGACGATCCGAAGACCCGTCGACTGATCGAGATTACCTGGCAGTTGCAAGACAGGCTTGTCTTTCAGGAACAGGTCAGCTTGGGACCCATCGGCCCTACACAACGCTGACACGTAACAGTCAATCTCACGTGCGCTCGTATTCCGGCTTCTCGGTCATGTCCTGCTTTGCGGTGTTTTGCATGTGGCTTACCAGACACCGGAACGAGTGAAGGGACAGTACATGATATGCGTTCTGTACAAGTCATGTCTCGTACTTGCTACGACAAGTCGTTTCTTTACGCCCTACAACGTGGTTGCTTGCATTAGCCTGGCCAATGGCAGTATCGAAGAACCGGACAATGGTCGAGGTTCGTATCGGGTAATGCGTCTGGATACTGGGAATGCAGCTAATCCCGACAGGCGTTCAATGTCATACTGCTTCGCATACCTGGAAGTTCGTATTCGAGCACAATAACCGGCTCCACGAGATCATTTTGAGCGCCTGCTCGTCTCAGGAAGAAGAAACATGGAAGACACAGCTGCGTGAGCGGGCTATATGCGAGACGCACGATTTTGTCGAAGGACAGTCCACTGTGCACGAGATGTTTTCTTTCCTGGGTTTGGACCTCAAGTCTCTTGGCCCAGTCTTCGGACACGCAGACAGTCTGGTGCGGCGCATGTCTGTACACCGAGCTGCGACGCTGGGTGCGAAGACAAACCTGACACAAGTCATCATCAAGAATACCCAGGCGCAGAAGCCCCTCGACACAACCCCCACATTTTCGCCGGGGCAAATGGCTCGTTCGCACTCAATGCTATCGGCAAACCACATTCCCACGCTGGCTCCGAGAAGAGCTGAACGCATGCGCCTCGAGACGGCACTAGAGGAAGTTTGGACAAAAGACGTCTTGCCCTTTCCAGGGATGTCGACTCGAAGCGTGGAGAATCAGATTCGTGCATCGGCGAATTCGGTTATGCGAAAGCTCAGTATGGCAAGCATTGCCAGTAACTTTTCGCGCCGCTCGCCCAGCTTCTCCAGCATGAGCAACACTCGCTCGGAAGATTCATATGGAAGCAGGGCGCACAGAGTGCCGCATGCAAACCTGCGTGCAGCTCCCGGCTTGGATCGTCGACCTGCTCCTGCTGTTGTAGATTTTCACAATGCTCCAGCAGCGTTCCTGCCGACGGATTTCGAGCTGCAAGACACACGACCATCGAGTCGACGCCGACGCCTAGCGAACCGCGCAGGAGGGGCAGAGCGCTCTACAGAAAAGCCGACGCCTGTTCGTCCCAAGCGGACAAGGCGACTATCATCACATATCATCAGCCTCCCACGAAGTGAGTCAAGCGCGCGAGTCACGGCGAGGTCTACATCGGACGGCTCCAATGCAACTGTCCTGCGTGGTCCTGAGCCTACTGTCGATACCGAGCAGAACCGCGAGAATGCGAAGCCCAAGAGGAAGAATGACAGGGAAGGTAGCAGCTCAGGAAGAGCCCTGGGTACAGCACCGTCGAAGAAGTTCTTAAAGAGCAAGAGCCGGATCTTCAAATTTTGGGTATGATCATGACAACGACGAAGGCCTTTGAACGAATGGATTCAACGAAACACACCTTTCACGACTTATTGGATCGAAATTTTTTTTGGTACCTGTTGGTCTATTGAAAAAAAGGAGTTGGAGTAATGAAGGGTGTTACGATGTCACGACAGCATGCTATTCTTGTACCGGGCAGTAACGTATGGGAATGCATGCTATCGGAATAGCGGCACTTAGGAAGAACGGGCAATGGCCGAGATGGAAGGACGGCATAGAGTCGATCACACGACACTCTGCAAGGAACACCCGCAGCCCTGCCACGTTTGAGTTTGAGACGAGATGACGTCACTGCATCGTGAGCACGAACCGGCATAGATTTAGACAATAGCAATTGAGACATGGTTATAACGACAGAGTAGTTAATCAGCATCGTCACCGAATCGATTGCCTGATTGCAATACTTGCTATGTATCGACATTCGGTTTGATGATGATCAATGGGCGAAATGGAGATCCAGCGCGCGTTGCGGCTCTGATGTCGACCGTTACGTCCTTGCCCGCGGGCCGCTCACCGCCCGTCAAGCCGGGCACATCCACGATCTAGCCAGAGCCTCATACCTCACGCAATCCTGCAAGAGAAGGTGAAAGAACGGGGTTGCTGGCAACAATAAGCACGTGCCCTGGCATGACGTAGTCACCAGGCCCGAGCTCCCTGAGCTCTAAATACCCCTCTACAGCTCAGTTCGTAACCCCTCCATCATAACAATTCACTCAGTTCTCACGTCTTCTTACAACTCTCAAAATCACTCACAAACTGTTTCACAGCCCTCAAATCACCCACACAAACAATCAAAATGGCTCGCGGCGATGCTATGCAAACCAAGGTCCACTACAAGGGCAAGGCTGAGGACTTCATCGTCTTCGTCGACAGCGCCGAGGCTGTTCAGAACTGGAAGGGCGACTCCAGCATTCCTCTTGCACAGGTCGTCAGCGGCTTTAAGATCTTGGTCACCGACAAGTAAGCTTGCTTGAGCTCACTAATTGGCACAAGTGTACTAACATGGCCACCAGCCACGGCACCCAGGGCATTCTGAACACAGCAAGCAAGGGCACACTCGAGAACGAGTTCGGCACATCAAACGAGGATGAGGTCATCAAGCAGATCCTCCAGAAGGGCGACGTTCAGTCATCACAGGTATGTCATGACATCACGCGATCAGACAGTCATCAATTACTGTCTGAATCGTTGAACTTGGAACGGACGCTGACATTATACCAGAACTCTGAGCGCCAGGGCGACACCAACGACTCTAAGGGTGCTATGCAGGCCCACTAGGCGATTCGACTCACGACCTGACTACTTACGATTCGATGATCCTGTTTGGCGATTGTCGGAAAAGGCATGAGCTATTTGTGCTTTAAGGCCACACCTGGAAGATTAGCAAGGCATATTCATAGGCTGCACTTCCTCAGCTGGAATGCGAGGGCAGCATGAAAATTATCGAGATATCCAATGAAGTACTTGAAGATACTAAGACATCCTTGACATGCTCATTGTGTTCATGCATGTTGACATGGCTGACAAGGTGATTGCACCTAACTGAGTTGACGCAGGAACAACACGCGGCCAACATGCATGCAGGTATGCACCCCAGTTTTGTAACCTACCTGCCCACAATACCATCGATCGCACTCACATACTCGGCTCTGTTCTCGACTCCACCTGAGAACTTCGCTTCATGCGCACAACTATGTCGTTCACCAGCTCTTGCATCATCACGACCGCGCATGAACAAAGACGTGTTTGGGCTTCACTCTCTCTTTGTTGTTGTGAATGCCCGTCGACAAGGTGGAAGATGTTTCAATCTCTACTGGCTGTATGCAAGTAATGCTGATCAACAGACATCCACGATCGATCAAACCCAACCCTTGCCACGATGCCGCTGGGTTGAAACGCATGGCCCAACCCAACTACACCAGTGTATTGCGTCTATTAGATCCTCTTGAATACGCCGGTGCAGTCGACTGCGAGCTCGTACATGCGTTACTTCCAGTCAAACTCTGCACACAAGCAAACCGCAAGGCTGACAGGTCACGTTCGCTCGCAGACCTACAATTCTGGAGACATTCGAAACCTACTGCCCTCTTGATGCAGGCCTTTCCTGGTTCCACCCAGAATCCGATACTACAGATTTATGGTATTTGCATTGCAATTCCGGGCGAAGTACTCCACTGTTTTGCCCGGATAGGCTCAGGCGTACAACTTTCTGCTGCCTAAACCGGTCAGCTATACCCATCGACCCGATGGACATCTTGACTATTGTCGAACAAACATGACTCCTCCCGGGCCAGCCACACTGCTTCCTGTAATCTCGGAGAACGCATGCCTAGCTTTAAGCTGCTGTCTGCATACATCCCTGAGTTACTCGCGAAAGTTTACCGATCCTATTGTAGCGACAAACGCACATGCAAGTGGATGCAAGGAGTTTACTCCTATCGAAATAGTGATCGAAGTTTGCGATTCCGCAACCAGTATACCAATCCTTCTCGTTACCTCCATGCAAGCTTACGTTTATGCTTGGAGCGTCGGCTTGGGACGGGGTGCACATCTGCAGGGAGAACATAGTCAAAGAGGCCAGTCATACTAGCGTTGATGTGTTCATCTATAAGGACGGAGTTGACATAGAGCATCTGAGTCTCAAGCGGCACTCCTTGACATCAAGGAATATCCACTTTATTCCATATTTCCGACCATACATTCTCTGCTTTCAAGATGCCCGCCGCCAGGTCCACCCTTGCTACTACGCATGAGCACAGTACCTCCATTTTTGACAACTTCAAATCCCACTGCGATGCCAAGCGAGTTGACACCAAGAATACTGTCCTCACTCTGCTTCGCAATGCTTACGAAGATTACCTTGTCACAGAGGTGAACGCCAAAAAGATCGTGCTGTTCGACTATGCGTCCACTGATAAGGCACTGCTGGCATTGGACTCCAATGATGAGCAGTTTAACGCTACGAGGGACTGGAGTGCCGTAGGCGAAGGCATTGAGAAGAAGATGCACCCCGGTACGCTGACGGATGACTTCCGCTTCGCGAGGTAAGCCTCCCCCAAGCACTCCTTATAGGCCCGTACTTATACTCGACAGGTTCCAATATATCTGGGAGGGCAAAGAATTCCTTGTCTACTATGTAGTCTGGCAGGACACCTTCTCTCAGCCAAAAAAGCTTTTCTTCATCCTCCACCCACGCTCCGAGTCCCGCATCATCAACGGCCACTGCCAAGAGACCGACGCCCTGCTCCTCGCCGCAGGCGAATGGACATCCCAGCTGCACGAAGAGATCTTCGTCTTTGACAACGGGTACTGGGACAAATCCAAAGAGCTCTGGAGATCCGTGTCGGGCGCGTCTTGGACCGACGTGATCCTACCAACCAGCATGAAACAAAGCCCCATCGACGACATCTAGGGCTTCTTCGATAATCAGGAGTTGTACGCCCGATTCTCCGCCCCCTGGAAGCGCGGCATCATTCTGCACAGCGTCCCTGGAAACGGAAAGACAGTAAGCATTAAAGCGCTCATGGCCTCTTTGTACAACCGCCCGGACCTCATTCCCTCGCTGTACGTGAAGAGCTTCGAGACAAACTGTCAGACGGAGCAGTACGCTACACGGCAGATCTTTTAGCAGGCGCGCAGCATGGCGCCTTGTGTGCCGATCTTTGAGGATCTGGACTCGCTCGTCAACGATGATATACGGAGTTATTTCCTGAACGAGGTTGATGGCCTGGAGTCGAATGATGGTCTTCCTATGATTGGGTCTACGAATCATCTTGGTAAGCTTGATCCCGCGATCAGCGAGCGCCCGAGCCGGTTTGATCGGAAGTATCATTTCAAAATCCCGGGCGAGGAGGAGCGGGAGGTGTATGTGGAGTATTGGCGCAACAAGTTGCTGAAGAACGAGACAGTGGAATTTCCGGAAGAGCTGTGTGGCGTCATTGCAAAGGTGAGTGAGGGGTTCAGTTTCGCGTATCTCAAGGAGCTGTTTGTTATGGCCCTGTTGAGTTTGGTGAGGGGGTTCAAGGGTGACGACTTTGAGATTGTGGACAGAGAAGAGAAAGCCAGTAAGCCGCCTTCTGAGATTGCAACGCCAGAGGGCGAGAAAGAGAAAGAGGAAGACGAGAAGAAGGCAGAAGATATTTGCACTTGCAAACCTACGTGCGGAAAGTGCTCCAAGCCTCTGCCACCTACCCTGACCGACGAGCAGAACACTAAGAAGAAAGACGAAGCCGCGGAAGCCAAGCAGGAAGTCGAGAAGAACAACATGGTCATGCCTAGTGTTGAAATTCCGGCTGAGATGAAGAACAACCTGCTGCTGAAGGTAATTCAACATCAGGTATATAAGGGTATTGCATGCAGACATAGAAAACGAGAAGGACGAGGGGCCGGGGCGTGTAAAGGTCACGTTCGAAAGTGAGATGAGTAGCAAGGCTAGACGCTAGATGATAGCGACCGTAGCGTCGAGGTAGTGGTATCGGCAGTGTTGGTGTTTGAGGGTTCAGAAATCATGAGCTTAGCTGACTCCCGAGTCCGGTCAGGGCGTATTCAATCGACATCATACGTTACTGGGTATGCATCGGTCTCCGTCATCTCTTGTCTCGCTGCCTGCTTCCCAGCGTGAAATGGTACAGGCTCCAAAGATGTCGTGATGGCGATGAGCTGTAGCTCCCAAGATGAAACACAGGAGGGTGATGCTGTACTTCAGAAGGCGCTCCCTCGGCCACATCAGATAATTCAGATCTCAACACTCATCTTAGATCCCAGGTGGAGATCGGTATTTGAGGAGCAGATGAAGCAGGGTATCCACGAGCAGGAAGATACCGTACCTAACTGGAGTCGGTCTCCACAAAACAAAGGGACCCTCGTGCGGTTATATCGGAGCGTCCGTGGTAGCGTACCGCAGAACTACCGCTCGTGTGCGCAGATTGAACTTTGAGATGGGTTTGATCGCGTACGGGCCGACTCCACTGCACAGTGGTTCGGATGAAATGCACCGGGGTGTAGCTTGGAGTTTGTCCGTGGTTGTTCGAAAGCTTCTGTACATTCCGGTGCTTCCGTCTTGCGCTCATGACTGCCGCCAGGGATAATCTTGGGCCGTGAAAAGACGCTTGTGATGTAGACAAAGGCAATGATGCAATTGCGACCATAAATTAACAAAGAATAAGTCTTTAGCATGGCCCTCCTGACGCAGGGTAACGGCGCCGTCTCTCTGTGTTCCATACTTCGGCGCCGGACCGCCAGCACGGCCACAGACGCCGTCTCAGGGACACTCCCCAGTGGTGCCCACATCTCCCTCACAATTGCGCATCGATGTCATTTCGCTTGTGTTTTTAACCTTCCACATCAAGCTCCGTATGATACGGGTGGCCAATTTTGGTCTCCTGCCGATGGCGATCCACCTGCGCGGGGCGGACGGTCCTCCTACCTCGGTCGCGCACGAGATGTCAGCGACAGGTCGTATCGCAAAGGAGCCGCGACTATTGATTGTCAAGGAGATGAGTGTGGTGCATGGTGATTCGGTCGTCAGGACTCGGGGGAGGTGCCCGGGTAAGTGCAGACTTACAGCGGAAGGCGCAGAAGCCGATGTCACGAGTGTTGTCGAAGTACGGGGTCGACAATGGTGGTTCGAGGAGGAGGCTCCTCCCTGCATCGTCGATTGCCTGTTCGTACCCTCTCTCCTATTTGCTCCATCCGCATTCCTCCATCAGTGCACCGTTTCAAAAATCAAGCTTGGACACCAATACGGTACGATCGACGCAAAGTGTAACCTTGCACATCATGCTTGCCATCGCTGCCTGCCAAGGCTCCTAGTCTCTCCGTATTTGGCTTTTAGCCCTGCGCAAAACGTCACCTCGGGTCACCATGACCTCGCGTGCACTTCGGTAGAATGCGAGAGTTTGGTGCCATCAAATGCGCGCAGCACGCTCATTGGTTGACATGCCGTGCTATTCCATGGTCTGTGAGCTGTTAGAGGTGAAAGAGGTAAAGAGGGCGAAGCCTTGACAAGCGTACAGGGAAATAGTATACAGGAAACGGGAGCGTCCCCAAACAACCCTGCGGTGCGATCATTGCTGCTGTGGGCTCGTCATCTTTGTCTTGCCTGGTGGCCCTGTTTCCGCTGGCCTTCCTTGACTTTGCGCCCTTTCACCTCACTTTCTGTTTTTACCCCGGCCAAGCGCGGGCATTCCAGAGCAAAGGATTCGACCGTCTCCACATCATCATACTCTCCACACCAACACTGAGTTGTTGATGACCACGACCAACACACACCATGGCTAGATCTGCATTTACATGGGCGCGCGCCGCCGCCATCGCTGCCCTTGCACAACAGGCAGTCTCGCAGACATGCTGTAAGTCAGGGTTCACAATATGCTGGCTAGCAGTGACTGACAGGTGCAGATTACCCCAATGGTAACACAGCTCCAAGCACAGAGAAAGCATGCTCGTCAGCATCAGGTTCTGCTTGCTGTCCAGAGAATTGGGAATGCCTCGACAACGGTCTCTGCTATTACGCTCCCACCGGGCTCCACGGGAGATACAGCTGTACTGACAAGAACTGGAACTCACCTGGCTGTGCGTCTAATCTTTGTACATATAACCTGACCGTCTCTGGCGGTGAGTCTATCACCCAATGCTCGAACCACAACAACCAATGGTGCTGCAACGGCGATGCAACGAACGTGGACTGCTGTCAGGAAAAGCCGGAACCACGACCATTCTTCAACCTTCAAGACGGAACCGCATACGCTACAATTGGCTCGAATCAGGCGTCATCGAACCCGACCATTTCGACTGTCACTGGCCTTGCAACTTCTAGCTCAAGTGGGAGCTCTGCAACCTCTCAAGCTAGCTCAGCAGCAGCAGCAGATTCATCATCAGCCGCAGCTTCCTCAGTAAGCTCTTCTGTAAATACCACGCCCATCACCTCAGTCGCAACAAGCGTGCGGTCTGCTTCAGGTACTTCAGGCCCTGAGACTATCTACATCACCAACGTCATCACGCCAACTGCAACGGCCGACGCATCAAGCGGCGGGTCCTCAGGCGGCTCTGGCACCAACCTTGGTCTGATTATAGGCTGCGCCGTCGGAATTCCCCTCGCTCTCGCCCTTGTTGGCACTATCATCTGGATGCTGCGCAAGCGCCGCCAGGCTCAAACTCACCCTTACACGGCCACGCCTGATGGTGGCGAGTCTCCTCATATGGCATCTGCTGCCCTTGCCTCGCACAAGGAGACAGAGGTCTACCGTCACTCGCGCCCCGGAACCGCAGAAATCGACAGCAACCCCGTTGGCCCTGGCCGCCCGACCTCAACGATCCCCGGAAAGGCAGAGCTCGACTCTGGCGCAGGCTTTCAGCCAGGCTCAGGCACGCCGTTCGCTCCAGACACTGCGTTCCTTGGTGGCGGAACAGGTAACCACTCGACATGGGGCAGCTCACCACCCGGTTACTCGCCAGGGCAGGGTCAGTCACCTTTTGCGCATAATCATGAGGGTGCTGTGGAGCTCGACAGCTCGATGATTATGCCTGTCATCAACGAGAAGAGTGAGCACCAGTTGGAGTACCAGGCGTATCGACCTCCAAGCAACGCGGTGGAGCTGAACGCCGTGACGACGCCACCCGAGGATGTTGAGAAGCCGCTCAGCAAATGAGCGCAGCTGTGATCACATTTTCTTTCAAGCATAGGCGTTTTGGAGTGCAATAAAGGGATCGATACCATTTATAAAGAGAAGGTTATACGAGACATGGGTGTACATATATCTGAGGCGTACGAGAGGTCGCTTATTATGAACTAGATAACCTCTACTGCCCAATAATGAAGAATCGAACATCAGGCTGGTGCCATCACCTATGTGCGTGAGCGAGCGAGAGTCCGGACATCAGCCTCGCAAGATTGTTCAGATTGCCCGAGTGGGCCGCGGCGGGGCGGCTCTCGCCGTGAAGGAAGGTACGCGAACACATGTATCAGCCTTTCATAACTAGAGTCTTATCCACACGCCTTTCTCAGGCTCTTTGAAACAGGCTCACTGGCCAAAGATTTCATCTCAGATACCCAGCAGCATGAAGCTAGTGTGATATATTGCCCCCTCTTGACCCCTGCTCAGCTTGTGTTATGTGAAGTATTAACGATCTCCTTCATAGTAAAGCTTGTTTTGGCCACAATAGCTAAAGTTCTGAAGTTAGTTTCGTCACATTGGCGCGAGATGAAGAAGAAATTTTCCTGCTTTTTAAGGTGGAGAAGTCGGCGAGTGTTCTCTCACGCTCCCTTCCTCACTCCTCTCATCGCCTCATCACGTTTCTGCTACAAGTCTCTCTGCAAAGATGGCGCAAAAGCAGGCCCCCGACGATGAGTTCGATGAGCTGACCCTCGACTGTTCCAACCTGTCATCTACATACGAGTCTTGCTCGGCTAATATCAGCATACTCGCCCACAGACAGATGCAGAATAACCTAAATGCCCCCCTCATTCTTTGAGCTTATGCGCTACCCTCTATAGCATCTCAAAAAACCTTCATTCTCTGTAAGGGTATGGCAAGTTAGGCCGTAGGTAAGGCTTAATGTCGAGAGAATAATGGCAGAGGTTGAAGAACTACGGTAACTCACAAAAGAAATAAGTGAAAGCTTCTAGAATCTGGCGCAGTGCATGACTGGTGGATACACATGCAAGACTGCGGCATGCTACAGAGATGAGTTCGTAAGCAAATGTTCAGACTTAAATAAATTCTCGATCGTACAATTCAGCTCGAGAGCGACATTCCTGAAACCTGGAAACACTTGCTGTGACAGCTCAGGGCGGAGCTGCAGCACATACGTCAGTACATTGATGACATCTTGATCCTCCCGAATACCAGATTGAGTTGCACCTGAGGGAGCAGGAGGCTGACCGTGCTGCTGGAAATAAGGCTGAGCAAAGGGAATGTAACGCTGGACGCACAGAGACGGCTACTCATCTGTGGAACTAGCAGAAGTGTTTTTCCTGGCGGTCAATCTATAGGATTTAGAAACGCCCCTGAAGGTCATCACGAATGGGTTATTGGTGCTCATGACTTGTCAATTTAATGTGTATAAGATTAAGAGTTCAATTTTGTATAACATGATCATGAAATAGCGAGGAATCGCAGTTTCAAGATTGAGAACTATTATCATTGTAATTCTAGTCTAATCTAAGCATGCAGATAGTGACTGCAAAAGCAAGAATGGGTATCGATTGCTGCGGCCAAAGGCTACAATCAATTTCAGGATAAGGGGCCGGAACGCCAGACAACTAACGCCGCCCGGGAGGAAGTCGTTGAGAACGTGAACTCATGAAAGTGTTGTACAAGAAGGCAGAGATGCTTTACATCATCACGCCAGTGACGACAACGGTGGCCATAGCCAGATAGCCAGCGTACTTGCCAGTCTTCAGGGTCATGGCACCACTGTCATCGTCGGTACCGCCGGGTGCGGTTGTTCCATTCGGGAGCGTTCCATTTATAACAAGGTTACGTGTTCCATTGACATCAGAAACCGTAACGAGAGTTTTGTTGAGTGCGGCGTAGCTCCCATTCCCTACTAAGTCGTTGTAGTAGGCCTGGTCGGAGTTGTCGTCGCATCCACAAGGGCTGTACTGTTGGCAGAGGCAGGTGACTGGGAGCGTGGTATTTGTACCGTTAGGATTAGTCTCGTTGGTGTCGGTTCGGTTGTAGAATCGGTATGGTGAAAGATAGTAAGGGTATGCTGAATACAGCCAGAGACCGGGCATGATAGCGAGGGCACCGGCGCCTATAAGCAGAGGGGCGGCGACAAGTCCCTTAGGTGTCCGTGACCCAGCGGAGTAGGGCACGGAGGCGCCGCCACCGTAGTATCCGCCACCATACGCGCGAGGAGCTCCAGAGCCAGAGCGTGTCGAGCCTCCCGTCGAAGAGCTAGAAGAAGTGCGACCGCTAGAACTACTGGAGGTACCGCCGGATTTACCACCAGAGCTACTACCAGAACTACTACCACCTCCGCGACCACCACCGCCCTTTCTTTTCTCTAAGCTGTGTTCCGGTGCGACGACTTCTGCTGCTCGTGGTTGCGACTCGGCATGGTCTTCGATGAGGTGAATGGCGTCGACTTCAGGTATCGATGCAGCGTTCGCTGCTGATGTGGCGAGCACGCCGTACGCAACAATATTTAAAAATCTCATTGTCGGGTAGATGTAATGTGAAAGCGCGGAATGAGTCAATGCGCAGGTATCGTTCGGTTGTGCGCGAAGTTCGTATCCGGAAGCGGTGAAACGGTCAGAGGGTAAGTCGACGGTTGCAGAAAGGCTGGGGATAATTAAAGTTAGACGCAGTACTTTGTTTGTATACTGGTTTGTGAGGAAATAGCAGGCTGACTAGGGCAAGCATTGGGCTTATATGCAGGTGTGGACTACGGTGAGCTCATTGCAGGAGGCGATACACAGCCCTGCGTCATGAGATGGAAAGCCTTAGGCAAGACCCTGAACTAAGGGCGGGGTTAACCGGAACCGGAGTTACAGTACACACAGCCCTGCGCTACAACTCCACAAAGAGACTGATTGGAAGGTCACATGCTCGCCACATGTGGCAGTGAAAGTCAATGTAAGCCTATCACATCGCCTACGACTTGGCGCAATCAAAAGCATTACGGCCCTTTGGGCATCGAACTTCAGGAATCATAACATCCACGGCCCAAGGGTTTTGTTATTCGTTGTTCCTCGGACGTTGCTGGCAAAAAGCGTTGACGTATGAGTTGCAGGATGAAACTCACCAAGAAGTTGGAAAACATCATGGAATGACTTCACCGCTGTCGATGTGTGCTTGCCAAGCAAGCGGGAAGCGCCAAGCTTTGCAAGCAAAGTCAGCTAGTGGCCAACGCGACTCATGTGCCCGTAAAAGATGGTCATCAACTGTACCGAAATCCGAGGAGAACGATCAGGCATTGATGTTCGATGTGAACCAAGCCACGGTTCGTTGTTACAGTCGTTGGTATCGAGAGCAATCCTGCTCAAGCGACAAGCGGGGTTGGTGTGACCTGCACGACCAGCGTGGAGTAATCCCCGACCATCCGTCATTGTACTCAGAGAGTTGGTACTGTATGTTGACAGTAGGAACCTACCTTGCGTTCGAAAAAATCAGTCGGCGGAGTCGATCGTCTTTGTGCTGAGGCAAACTTCGCGTCGAATCAAGAAGGTATGGTAACTCTGTACATCTGCGGCATTATTCCCGGTGATCCTCAATGTGACGATGGTAGAATTCAGGCAACCAACTGGCGATGGCCAAACTCGGCAGGAGCTCACAAGGCGCAGCGCAAGGCGATCCAACGGTATGTGACTTGAGACAATGATCCAAGATAATCGTTGTGTGAGCACCTCCATTTTAAAGGTCTACCATAACGCTTGCTACCAATCGTCGAGTTACGCTGAGGTGAAGGCCGAGACCCGATGAAAGGCGAGGCATTCATCAATAATTGTGAGCACTTGTGAGCTCACTGCCGGATCACTATGTCGCTGGCCCGGCCAGTAATTGATCCAGTCCCATGCTGCTTCATCTTCTTGAACGACGGTGAGCGTCTAAGTCTGTGTGCGTGTTGAGACCAATGTGGACCGTGATATGACAACATTCGAATCGATAAAAAAGTGAACTCATCATTTGCTAAGTGTCTCGCCGCGTGATCGACTTGGCCAGTGTACTGGTCATGAATGGTTCCAGGGTGTTTGGGTGATTTCACAATTAGCCCTGCACTTGTAAAGAGAATCATCGCATACTTCCTGCTAAAGCCCCGATCTCCAAGGTACAGATTCTTGTAAGTCAGTCGTGCTGCTTCACATTGGGCATATGTTTGTCGAGTTATAATATGGTCGAGACTTTGCGGAGTATAAACGTTCTGTCAATGTCAGGATCGCTCAACGACGAAATGACTGACAAAGGCTTGAAGAAGGACGAGCTACCCCTGCAAGACAAAGTTCCCTTGATATTGTCCTTCTGAGGTCATCTGTAGGGAGATTCTGCTGCCTGCAATGCTGCTTGTAGAAGCAAGATGTGACTATGTATTTGATGCCTCGCATGTATGTAGCGATGTCTCTCGACATCTAGCACAGGTTCTCGAGTCTCAGGAAGCCCGTCAGTAAGCTACAGACTCCAGGAGCAGCCTGGAGGCATTCAGCGAACTCAATGCCTCCGTTGGTCTTGCTTGAGCGACTGAATTTCTTTCTTCTTGCCTTCGAACCGTGTCTGAAAATGCACAGCAATCGGATATTGCAAAGGCATTCTAGGGTCCACTGGCGGCTCTCAACTGAGTGCGAGTGACTTGCACCTGTCCCTTCATGGTCATCGTGATGCGTGACTGGTTCATTGGCACAGCTGCAGGGTTTCTCTTATGCAATTTACTTAGTTAAATATGCTTAAAGCATTGTAAATAACTACACGCATTCTCGAATGCAATCACATGCACAATAAAACGGCAGAACTCCTTTTCCGGTCCGTACCGAAGCTTGCGATGCCCTCACATGCCTACCTCTCCGTCCAGTATCAAATCTTACATCCCTCTACCGTCTGCGCTAGTTCTTCTTCTCAAAGTCACCCCCTGGTTTCCCAGGCGTGTGCTTCAACTCATGATTATCAAACTCTTGGCCCGAGAATTTGCCCACACGGACCATTTCCTGATTCCTGCGCGCCGCGATGCTATGCTTGTTGACGGTGTCGCCGTGGCGATCTTCGACGGGCTTGGGGACGTCGGAGGCATAGGCGGCTTCGTGGCGGTGGCCGGGTTTCAAGTCTGAAGAGTTCGAGGTTGATGATGAGGCCGACGAGGATCCTGTGGCCAAGGAGGCGTTCGAGGAAGATGCGCTGTTTGAAGGGGTGGAAGGGGTGGAGGAGGAAGTGATGTAGTAGAGAGCTGCGGCGCCGATGGCGGCAGTCGTGGTGAGCCCAGAGGTAGTCAGCGCAAGTAAATGCAGCGGCAGATTTTCGAGAACTTACCACGTCAGTCGCGATGATGTCTTCAGTATCTCCTTTGTGCGCTGTTCATAATCCGTGCCATACTGTCTCCTTGCTGTTGGACATTTGACCCTGCGCGGCGCGCAGGACAGAGCTCGTGATGATGCTGCTCTTGTCGAAATCATTATCCTAGGTCTGCAGATGGCGTTTGTGAGAGCTTAGTTGTGCCGTGAACTCTACAGTATGTCGTTGGAGACTGTCAACGATCGTTGTTGGTCGCGCATATGTAGACAAGGCTTGTTGATTACTCTACGTCATTGGCTTGGGTACGCGCCTGATCTAACGACGCGTCTGGGCACTATGCCGTTCGACCAATGTTGCACTCATCTACAACCCCACGAATACTGAATTTGCAAGGCTCTCGATGCTGGAGTGTGGTAAAAGCAAATGCGAACATAACCGCGAGCGCGCTACGCTGCTTGAACCTGCCCATTTTCCATCCCGATCATCATACAGTTCCAGCATGGCGTGAAGCCCTTCAGCCATTGATGTTGATGATGCAAAGTCGATTCGATGCCACGACAGGCAGGCCTCTACTTGGTCTGTAAGACGAGCAGAGAACAGCAGTCCAAAAGCCAGTCACCCTGATTGAACGAGGATCTGCAAGCTGCCTGCGTCTGCCAGTAGGGTAGGAGCAAGCAGGTATCCCGAATAACAACGCACAACAAGAACCTTCAAGTTCAAGCGCTCAATCTGGTGCGGACCTCGGCGACCGACTGCATAGCGCAGCCAGGCATCGCGAGTGGTGTGAGACGAGCTGGCTGAGCATTTTCATGGACTCTTTCTCCGGCGATGCTCGTATTAAGCTCACGTGATGAAAGGTTGGTACCATTGCTTGGTGCTATTTCGGTGGTGACGATTGGGGCGGTTCTGGCGTGCTACTGTCATGGACCGTTTGATACTTTAGGTACTCCTCTTGAAGAGCCTTCTGCATCTCGAAGTCGGCCTGTCGTTCGCGCTTGACCCGCTGCTGTTCGTAGTCACGGATAACACCAGCGTGCATGGCCTGCATCCAAATGTCAGATCAAGTATCGTGTGGCGTAGGGATATACGAACGGCTTTGTCCTGCCTCTGCGAGAAGTGCACGAATCCAACAGTGCCAATTGCGACCGCACAAGTAGTCGCCAGTGTAATCTGGGATGCTCGAGACATCCTAGCTGTGCTGAGTTGGTGATTCGAAGAAGTTGTTGCGGAAAGTTGCGGGCGATTCGAGATCAGATGGGAGCTTGGGCCAGCCCACGAGGCGGACCTGCCGCCAAGGTCGAAGCCGCTGCTGCATCATAGGCCTCTCCGCAACGACCACCGCGATATCGCAAATCCACAGCAACTCGTCCAAGACCCTCAAGATGGTATGAATTTGAATTCCTTACAAATACACACACAATGTTAACGCTTTGCACAGTCCGCCCAAAACTCCGCGGGAATTCAGACGCTGCTTGACGTAAGCACCGCAACCCACTTCAACAGTACACAGCTCACATAGTATCCAGGCCGAGCGCGAGGCCCAGAAGATTGTCCAGCAAGGTAGCCCATACTATAACCACCCAACGAGAGACAGAAGCTAACCAATAATGCAGCTAGAGAATGTAAATGATCACTCCCAACCGCCGACCCAATACAAACCTAACTGTTGAAGACCGCACGAAGCGAGTAAAGGACGCGCGAAGCGAGGCGCAGAAGGAGATCGAGGACTACAAGAAAGAGAAGGAGGCCGAGTACCAGAAGTTCGAGAAAGAGGTGCGCAGGACCTCCACGATGCAATATCTTGAAATGGACGTGAAGGACTAACGACCCCCTAGCACAGCTCCGGCAACAAGAAGGCTGAGGACGACGCAAAGAAGGATACAGACACGAAGGTCAAGGAGGTCGAGAATCTAGGCAACAAGTCTGGCAGCAAGGTCGTCGAGCAATTGATCGCCGCCGTCACGAACGCCAACACAAAGCCCCCACGCAAGGAGTAGAGCGACACTTCAATGATGACCGAACGAACAATATGCCTGCGCCAGCTACGACGATTGCGTCGTAAATGATCTAGGCTCTATGCCCGGCATGTAGCGTAATGTCCTCTTCATGCCTACCGATACCGTCCGGAGACGCGGTTTTGAAGACCCAGCAATAGAAATCCGATTTCAAGCGAGTTTCTTCTTACCGAGCGGTCGAACAGCCTGTGATTTACCATTGCATGCTCCAAACTTATGACCAGGACAATGCGTGGCATCTCCTTCAAGACAACTGGACTATTGCTGGACATCGTGACTACCTCTCAAGTTTGTCCTCATGTGAAATCGCCGTTTGCATTCTGTATACGGATTTGTAGAAGCAGGAGTCATATTTGACCGATCTACGCGCCAGACGATTGCTTGCATGTGTGAAAGACCCCTGCTCCACCATGTCGCGTTCGATACGTCACCGAGCTAACGGCGCGCGCCAAAGTAAGTTCGGGGCTCTGAGCCTCAACATCAACACCACGATGCGCCAGCCCCAATGATACGGCTATGTAATCGAGCGCCTTTTCGCTCTCACACACTACATAAACCCCTCTTACACACTTCGACACAATGGTCGGCCCCGCGCCAGTTCAGCAGCACAGCATGGCGCAAAGAAGACCCGCGGATCGAGTCTATGAGCAGAGAGATTACTGACGAGTTTGCGGTGATTCGTGAAGACTATGGTAAGTCATAAAACTTGTGCAATGAAGTCATGCTAATTTCAACAAGCTACTCCTGTCCGTATACGCTCCTGGCCGCAATTCAACATCTGACACGGGCGCAGAAACACACAATCGTCCTCGCACACGGTCTTCTCGGCTTCAGCGAACTTCGACTCGCAGGACAGTTTTTCCCTGGTCTCAAGTACTGGCGTGGTATCACAGAGGCGCTCTCAGCCAAAGGCATCGAGGTCATTGTGGCGACTGTGCCACCCAGCGGCAGCGTCGAGGCAAGAGCAGCGAAGCTTGCGGAGAGCATTGCCGCAGAGGCAAAAGGGAAGGAAGTCAACATAATCGCTCACAGTATGGGAGGTCTCGATTCGCGCTACATGATCAGCCAGCTCAAACCGGCCGATTTCAAGATCATGTCTCTGACTACGATCGCGACACCGCACCGAGGCTCTTCGTTCGCCGACTACATGTTCGACACCATTGGTCCTCGCCGGATCAAGAGGATATACAAAGTCATAGAGTACTTCGGGTTCGAGACAGGCGCGTTCTCGCAGCTTACACTGAAATACATGAGCGAGAGCTTCAATCCGAGAACCCCGGATATTGAGGATGTCAGATACTTCTCGTATGGCGCATCTTTAGAGCCTGAGCGATGGTCTGTCTTCGCTCCATCACACGCGATCGTCAAGCGAGAGGAGGGCATCAATGACGGTCTTGTGAGGTACGCGTACTCGATATTCGATGCTTCCAATTGGCTGACCACACATCCAGCGTCACTTCAAGTCGATGGGGAGACTATAAAGGAACACTAATCGGTGTCAGTCACCTTGACTTAATCAATTGGACTAATCGTATGAAATGGTGGTTCTGGAGTCTAACAGGGAAGAAGAGAAAGTAAGGCCCTTGTCTACATTTCTGAGAACACAGTCGGCTGACAACGGGTAGTTTCAATGCTATCGCATTATATCTAGACATCTGTGGTAGGTGTGAGCATCGAGCATCGCGCTTGTTCCCGGACTTAGCCCACATACTGACTGTGATGTAGACATGCTTGCGAAGGAGAAGCTATAATCTCATGAACTATACGTAAGGCGCCTAGGTAGCTTCGACATCAGGACACAAGGACGCGTAAGGCACCACCGAGCCCAGCTCGCAGCACCCAGTAGAGCGAGAACAGAGTGAGATAAGGCCCTCGATGAACCCGATGGTGCGGCTGCGGTTGTGGCTGTGCAGTACACAATGCATGAGTTGTGATAGCACAGTGTAATATGCTGGAGGGTAATCCAGATACCGATGAGAGATAAATAAATATAGAGTATCAATCTCCATGGGTCGTCAACCGCTGAAACATCTCCAGAAGCCTGTGAGGGTAGGCGCGTTTGACCCATATGACGTAGCCAAGCCGCCGCCCCTCCGCCGCGCTCCGACAGTTTGACAATTGTGACATTTCACCTGCAGCAATACTCAAGCAACAACGACACGCGTTTCTTGGGCTGTGCCGCCCGTTCCGTAAACCACAACTCAGCCGCCAGATAATCCTGCAGAACGCACGACACTTGTTGTTTCGACATAAAGTGACATGCTGCCCGACCCCCACCATACTTGCGACTATCCGTTCACCTGATATCCACGACGACAAAGCCTGTGCAACTCCGTAGTTACACAAATACGATCGTAGCCTCAAGATGCTGGTATCAATTGCGCTCGATCATCCTCACGAGCACTATACAAACCTCGATGTTATTCAAGGAAAAGTGTATCTGCGGGTGCCGAATCCTACCAATGTCGGCAGCATCGTAGTGAAGCTCGAGGGCGAGTCGAAGACGAGACTACTTGCGCCGATACATCCCAGTAGACCAGACAAGCAGCGACCGGTGTTGGAAGTACACAAAGTCCTGTACAAGACGCAAGTATTATGGCCTACGGCAATGCAACAGGATGACCTCCTCACGAACAACAAAACCGGGTTCACCATGCAAGCTGGCAACTTCGAATACCCTTTCCAGTTCAAGGTGAGTCAAGCGAACAGGAGCTGTGCGCAACCACTCATAAGAACAGATTCCACTGAACACCTCTTGCCATGCGCAACAAGCGACCGCACCCATCTCGAATATCTCTTTCGCCAACACGATACCCGAGTTCGCAAAGACTCCGACACAACACATCAAGTCCGCACTGCCACCGTCCCTTACCGGGTTTCCCGGCGAGGCTGAGATTCGATACTTCGTGAAGGTCACAGTGAATAGACCATCGCTGTTTAAAGAGAACCCAAGGGCAGTCGCGAGCTTCACACTGTTGCCAATCGAGCCACCACGGCTGGAAAGGCAAGATGGCGAGGCATATGCAAGGAGACAACACCAGTTCCTGGAGAATGCGCCTAGCGTAGCAGCAGGAAAGAAGCTAGGTCTCTTCGACAGGAAAAGCTCCTCAAGTGTGCCAACATCACCTACATCTTTAGGCTCTCCACCACGCGTCTCGCTCGATGCTCGGTTGCCGAACCCCGCTATTTTGACAGCCAACCAAGATATGCCTCTGCGGGTGCTGATGAAGAATATGAGCCCGCGGGCGAAGAACGTATATCTTCAGATGCTTCAGATCGAGTTGATTGGCTACACGAAAGTGCGGGCGCATGAAGTTGCTCGGACAGAGTCAAACAGCTGGATCCTCTGCTCATTCAGCAACATGGCTATCCCGTTGGGAGCGCCCACGGACGCTGTGGAGACAGAAGTACCTATCAACCCAGAGTACTGGTCGGACAAGCCGATTCCACCTACAGTTCCACCCACATTCCAAACCTGCAACTTGTCACGCTTATATGAGCTGGAAGTACGCGTAGGTATCGGCTACGGCTCCTACAAGCAAGGCGAGGACCAGCTAGTTGTCCTACCACTACGATTGCCGGTTAAGGTCTACTCTGGCATCGCCCCTCCCAAGGCGTTGCTTGAATCTGCATTGACGGGTGAACCAGGCAACACGGCTAACCTCGGTGTACCGCCTCCAGCACAGGGACCGCACACGCCTACAATGCCAACTCACGCTGGGTTTGGTGGGCCAAGCGCGTCTGCTAACGCAACGCATCGGCCCCAGAGTGAATCTTCCGAGGCGCCGCCGCCGACTTATGAGGAAGCAGTCGGTCAAAACTTGCCCCCGATTAACGGGTACAGAGGGACATACCAACCTCCTCCTGTTCCCGAGGGAGCACCTAGGTTCTCGGACGAGAAGAGGCGATAGAGGAGTCATAGCACAAATGTGGAGCGAAGAGAAGAGAGAACGATCTATCTGGTGACACAAGGGATGGCGATTGCCGCGATTGCCTCCGCGGTCTGCGATGGGGCTGGGCGGCCGTTGGGCATGGCGGATGTGGACGTGGGAGGAGACCTACGGGCCGCAGCACGACGGTAGAACTATGTTTCTAGCCAATCACTTAATACCTCAAGCACCTTACTGAGGCCAAATCAAGCCCTCGAAACGAAACAAACCTCCATGTTTCACGTCCGAGAACGTCCCAAGTCCAATCAAGATTCCGAGGGTGACTCTAAGAGAGAAGCTTCTAGCGAATCTCGCGAATGGTTACCGGCCGAGTCGTACCAGGACATGGTACCATTGCACTGACAACACATCTATTCGCCGTCTCCGTCCAATGAAATCTGACCCACAAGCATTACCTGGATATCACCTGACTCGGCTATTGGTCCTGCGCTGCATAGCGAACTGGATCTGCGGAACCGGCCGTGAAGGATGAATGAGGACCTCCAGGCCAACAGAGCGTTCACGCAAAGCATAATTGCTTTTTCCACGAGGCTGGGGTGACACAACATGTCGGTCGCGTGGAACACATGTAAACAAACGAAGAGACCACCGAACCAACACGACTCAGCGGCGGAGAGACCGATCAAAGAGACGGTTCATGCAAGTGCGGCATTTTCACAGCAGTGTCGGGCGGACTCTGGCAGAAGCCGTGGATGGTGCAAGTTGTGCGTCTGGCCAAGACACGCACGATGCTGCTCGCCTGAAAGAATCCTAGAGTTGCTGCAGGTCAATGGGCTAGCGGTGGGGGGCGAGTCAGCAAAGTGGATGCCGGGCCTGTTCTGGAAGCGTGCAGCCCAACACGGCGAGAGGTTTCTTTGTTGTCGTGTTGTCCTTACGAAGGGCCTGCTGTCTTGCTCGCTATCTCGATCGTTGCGCCGTTGCTCGCCGTTGCTAAGGTGGACTTCCTTGATTTCGTGCGTCGCAATTATTGTGTGATGGCTAGACTTGTTGTGGTGTATCTCGAGTGAAGAGTAGTCCTGACAAGGACTCGCTTATCTTACCGAAGATATTTGTTGAAGCACGGTGCAGCGAAGATCAAAGTTTGGCCAAAACGTTTCAACGTGTTAATGCTTCAACAGCAGGGAGGCCGGCCATATATGATGCTGTGGCGGACGGTGTGGACACTGTCAAGCTGAGCTGCGGGACGCGCCTTCCGGCAACTTATCGATAACTCTGTTTCGCGCACGTTCACGAAAGGACTGCATCTCAGACAGACGCGGGCGCGCACACCAGCGCAGGAACTGCGGACAGGCGCAGAATGTTTTTGTTTTTGCCCTCAAATCGCGACTCTCCATGGCAATATGCACAGTAGCGCAAGCGGGAGTTAACGCGCCTTGCCACTGCTACACGCGATTTCGAGCGCTGACCGCCAGTCCTTTGTGGCCAGTCACAGCGCCCAAGAAACTACTGCAAGCCTACTGCAAGAGCTGCATGCTGTATCCCGCGCAGCGAGTCTTTCCATTCGCTGCAATCCATGAAACGTTTCAAGCCTACTCCAGGCAGCAGCCCACTCTGACCCAGCCGCCGAATCGTCGCGTCGAACACCATATGAACACGCTCTCCCACCGTGATATAGTCGCGTTTTCCTCTCAATGAACTGGCCGCAAAGAGAAGAGACGTGTTTTGGGGACGGGATTCACTGCCATCATCACAGCATGTCTGACTCACACCTGCATCTCACCTGTAGCGCGGCCCCGCATGTCGAGGATGCGGTAAATACTAGCTCCTCGAGGGCGCCCGGGTTCCTGAGGATTCCACGATGCCCTGGAGGTTGACCACATTCACCGACTTTTCATGCACTCCTGAATATTGACGATTCAGTGACGGCTCGAGCTTCCCCACCTCTTTGCGAACCTCTTATGACGAAGCCGTACTTGCTACTACCCACCAGACCGACACTCTGACGCAGTTTTCCACAGAATCTTGAATGCCACCCAATACACATCCATCCAATGTATTCCCAGCGCCAGGCGCCGCCTCAGCTGAAGCGCTCCTATTCGGGGGATAGCCAAAGCAGTTATGCTAGCCGTGCGACAACTGCTTCAAACTCCAGCGGAAAATTGCTTTTTGGTGAGATACCGTTATCGCCTGCGACCACTGTAGATGGACGATGTAAGACGCCCTAGAGCCCAGCCTCGTGTGGCAGATCATTAACGGAACGCAGCGGTGCGATCTTACGGTTCAGTATGCAACCTTGTGTTATCCACCAGTTCGGTCTTTCTACGATTCTGGCTGAACGACAAATGTCGCGACAACATGCTCGACCAAATGGAAGCAGAGGATCTAGCCAATCTCCGCCTCGCCTGCCATGATATGTCGACGCGCGCTGCGCCTTTCCTTTTCGATTCAGTCACTACTACTTTCAAAGCATCAACCTTCACGAAGCCTGCGCGCCTTGAAGCGCTTTCTAGGATAGGACGCCACATCAAGACGCTCACTTTCCATATGCCGCACACTCCTGAGACCTTCCTGCCGCCAGTCATTGACCCGGAGACCGGAGCCGAACTTCAATTCGTATACGAGCCCCAGGTCCAGAACCCGCAGAACGGCCCCGCGAAAGACAAGACGCCAAAGTACGGGAGCTGGGAAATGCAAGACCTTCTCGTTAAGCAGTACCCTCCTCTGTTCCATGCAGCGACAAACGTTCCCTCCTTTGTTTCCGCCTTCTCTGAGCTCATCAACCTCACACACCTGAAGATCTCGTGCCCCGGCTCAAACAACCAAATTCGACACCGCCGGACAGTAGTCGATTACGCGCTCATCTCCATCCGTATTGCCGTCGAGCGTGCGCCATTGTACAGCCTGACTGCGCTGTCAATGCATCCCATCCACGCTGGCGGCCTTCTCTACCTTCACCCCATGCACGGCTTTGGAAGCACACCATCATCCGCCAAGCGCTGGACCCAAATCCGAAGGCTGTCTATCTGTATGGAGTCTATCCCACTGGTAACATCATCCGACAAGATTCGCGCGCAATCGATTGAACATTTGCGCATTCTTCATGCCTACCTGCGAACTTTGTCACGTGGTGTCACGAGACTACATTTCCGATGGAAGGGCGAGCGCGGCCCATCTCCACTTTCTCTAGACAAGGAGCCCTGCATGCAACCCGTCGAGGACGAGATGACACACCCCACTATGCGCAGCGAAGTCAAGGGCCCCAAGCCTCTCCGGTTCACCCGCCTGCGCTGCATGGAGCTCGAAAACGCCGTCATGGACTCGACCCAGATCTCCAACTTCATCGAAACCCACCGCCGCACCCTCATCGACTTCAACTTCGAAGACGTCAAGCTCCGCGAGGGCAGCTGGGACGACGCGCTGCAGCCCCTGACCATCATTACCGGCAGTGACCGCTGGAAGAAGACCCAGGAGGAAGTCATGGACGTCCCTATCATGCTGTCCCCTATCGAGGCCGAACCGCGCATTATGGGCCCGCTCCTGGAAGAGGTCGACGCCGCAATCGAGGACGCCAGCAAAGACCGAAACGGTCACACGCTCTCGCGCTGGCTCAGCAAGCCCAACCAGAAGCTGAAGAAGAGCCCCGCCATCGGCACGCCCAATCACAGCAAGAAGGACAGTTTCTTCGATGCGGATCATATGAAGCGGTTTCTGCGCATCTCGAGCTGGAAATAGATACGCCTCTGCTTCTCATGCTCTATTGACGTTTACCTAAAGTAGGACGATAGGTGGATTGTGTTTATTCTGTACGCACTAGCTGCGGCGTTGGTGGAGTCGAGAGGTATGCGGTCCGGTCAAGTCAAGATAATCACGGTGATACCCAGGGTTTGGAATTGGAGTTCTCTCACCAGCCACGGACTAGGCGGTGACGGTTGCGATTGCATTACGATGAGCCATCATGTACAGGCGCAAGAACCAGCTTCCTCTGGCTCCACCAGCCAATAGGAGGGGTGGTTTGCGCTGCGGCTCGGTTCCTTTTTGTGTTTCTCGCGGACCTTCGCTCTTTGGTCCGCTTTCCTTTGTTTCATGTTTCGTCTCAAGACTTGACGCTCGACTGGACCGACCTCTCTTATGTCTCTGCTTTTACTTCACATCACAGTCTCTTCGGAGTCTTATGCCACGTGCTTCGGCTACCTATAACGGCCTTCTTCACGAACATACTTATGATACTTCACGGACGAAAACCTGTAGATACAAAACGACATGACTAGCATTTTCACGATCATTCAATAAACTTTTCTTTGTCAAATCTAACGAAGATGCAATACAAGCCTGTCTCCCAAATACTCATTGGTCATGTGCGACTCGTGCTTGAAGCGCATGCCGAGACTTCCACTGGACAGGCACCGCGATTGTACGTACCGATTGTTCATGCTTGCCCCCCATGCACTTTCACCGACCCAACACTAAGTCAGAGCTACAAGCTGGGGAATATTGACGTTGAATCGCATGAAAGGAGCCTCCTAGTGCACCGATTTGAAGGGTGGCTGACCGCAAAGGCCTCTTTGTCTGACAGATTACAGAACTGAATATAAACACCCTGACTTGCCGACAAGCAACGGTCACGAAGTTGCTGTCTCTAGATCTTCGATAGGCACAGGTACAAATGATTTTGCGCAGTTCCATGTTGCCGAGTCTTTGCTGAACACTTCCAGCGACCGACTCGATCGCTTTGGTTTGTAGCGCCATGGAGGGTTTCCGATGCACACTTGGGCCTAACACATTGTCACCTGCAGCAGACTGGCCCTGATAGACAGTGTTGGGTTTTTGTTCATTGTTCGAAGCGCCAAGATGTAGCGGTGATATCTACAACTTGCTCTTCGGCGCCTGCGCCTGCGCGTTCTTAAGGATAGGATCCAGCTTAGTCGCCTACAGAGAACGTCAGCGCACTCTTCTCGTCCACGCAACCCATTCTCACTTACCTTCATGACGTCGCCCTTGACCTTCAGCTTCCCGCTCATGAACAGCTTCTGCGCGTTCGCCTTGCCCTCGACCAGTTTCTGGAATTCGGCGTCGTTCAGTACCAGCGTCACGTTCGCTTTCTTACCCTCGGGCGCGACGCCCCGGCCCACTGTGCCGCTCTCCTTTAGGTCAATGTGCCACGATTCTTCTTTGCCGTTGTTCTTGAGCGTGAAGCCGAAGATACCGTTTCCGGATTTGATGGCGGCTTTGCGGTCGGCGGGCGAGGCGGAGAGCGAGGCTTGGATTGCGTCGAAGGCGGCGGAGGAGGGAAAGTTGTCTGTGGGTGTTAGCTTTGGGTTCAGTCTGCGTGTTGCGCCTGTCTGGTGTTCTTCCGCGTGAGGGATGGTCACAAGCTGCATTGTCGCTCGACACTGCTTATGGAGGACAATAGAGCGGATACGTGCCGCCCAACATTGTGTACTGCCCCAACGTGCGTGATTTTGGAAATTTAGGTAACACGCAGTGCTTACCAAGCGCGAGAGACATGTTGGCGGTGTTGATGGCTAATATGCTGTTGGAGCGGTCGTGAAGCTATCGTGAAGAACGAACACAAGCTGCGGGGGAGAACAGATCAGGGCTTGGGGTACCTGGGGTATATGAACAGCTTTACAGCTCGGAGGCTTGTGACAATGATGATGTAGATCAAGTCCGGGGTTGACGCATGTGAACACAACCATTTGACGCTAAACCTATGCCGAGGCAGGATCTATGGCACGTGTGCATGACTTCATCTTGCTAGAACGAAGAAGGCAAGTGAAGTGATTGTAATATTGCTCAAGGATTGTACTATCGATAATGTTCAGTGTGGCAACATTTTTGGAAACTTGTGTTGTTGCAAGGCCTTCGATATGCAAGGTACGCTGGTTCGAGAGCGAAGATGACGTGGAGAAGCGCTAATATGCGTTCCTTCACGCCCAAGAAAGCGCGTCCAGCATCCTCGTTATCGAATCCTTCGCGCCCTGATTTAGCTCCATCTCACACTTCTTTAGCATCCGGATGCTCTACAGCTGATGAAGTACGATCTCAACCTCACGTTCGGCGAGATCTTCAACAGTGAACGTCCGGCCCTCCTGAAACAGCTGATTGCCGTTCAGCAATAGTTATAAAGCAAAACGGAAAGCATCTGAGTGGGCAGAGAACCTAAGTTTCATTGACATCTCGACCGTGCGCTACAGAGGCCAATGAACCTGGCCACCAGAGACCTTGATACTCCCCCTGACTGACCAACAAGACGATGACAGTGCATACGTCGCTGTGTCCTGGCGATGGACTGGCGGCAATGACCTGCCTCCATATGGCTGCGACAATCGAGAGACTTTTGGATACATGTTCCAGCGGCCGGGCAAAGAGCCACGCAAAAGCAAGTTCCCCAGTCACCACCTCGAACGCGCGATTCTATTCGCGCAAGCGAAAGGGATCGAAAAACTTTGGGTCAATATAGAGTGCATTTTCCAACGACCAAAAGACGGCGAAGAAGACAAAGCGCTAGAGGCTCAGATCATGGACGCAGTATACGGTAGAAGCGACCTTTCCTTAGGACTACTCACGACCGGGCTCATTCATCAGAATGTGACTACCACCTCGAGGCTCGCGTGTCTTCCTCGGAGGGATCTTTAGGAAAGCGCAAGCGTGATGATGAGGACCACAGACCCGAAGATGGATTCTAAGTCCCAGCGAGCTAGCGCCTGTCGACTAGACCATCTAACGCACCAGATAAGCATGATCGTTGCTTCGAGGATGTGATGGACAAGGGCTGTGCATTTCAGCACGGGTTTTACCAAGCGCTATCGTTCCTGCGCTCGTGGTGTCAGGTCTATCACGCCGCTGTTGGGGATACATAATCAGAGCAGCTTCGTGATGACCCGTGCGGTTCATTGACGTAAGTGTTCTATAGAGATTGAGAACGTTGCTGAGTACTCGCTAGGATAGAATTAGATAGAGTATGCACCATGTTAGAGCGATATACTGCTAATTGTAAGACTGTGTTGAAATAATCTAGATCTGGTATTAGAGGTCAATCTAGGTCAATACGGGAGGGCATTACTGCAAAGAACTAACTTCTCTTCTACGTCAGATTTTGAGGTAGATAATGTTAGATTGAACAAAATCCTGCAGATGCTTTGTGTCTAAGATACCTTAAAGCCGAAAGATACTTGTAACATGGCTTGCTATAAGCTGTAACGATGAACCTACGCGTAGACTATCCTAATGACGATTCTGGTTACTTCTTCTACAGACTACAGTTCTAGCCTTGAATTAAGCGTCTTTCTAGTTTCGTACGAGTAGAATAAATGAGAGATAGCAACAACTCTGATCACAGTCCCAAGTTGTCTTCTGCTCCGACAACTGGGCCAGTTGGCCAGTCAAAACTCCAGGCTCGCTTGGCGGCACTCTGTCGTCATGGATGCAGATGTATTATTGAGACTGCTACAATCGTCTCCCTCACAATAAGAAAAACTAGCGGGTTGGTTCGAAGTGTACATGGCCCTGGACTAATATTCGCTGCTCCTTGAGTACATCAGACTACAATGACGGCAATCAGTAGTCTATCGGCACATTAGCATACACCAAGCAATGGCGAAGATGAGACACAATCTAGGGATTGCTGAGTTGTGGAGGCAAGGAAGGGAGAGGGGCATGAGTAAAGTTTATTCTGTCACAATCAGCAATGCGTGCCTTTTTATCCGTGCATATGTTATATAACGTACCGCGCTGATAAATGAAATGTACCTGCATTTATGCTGGTCGGTAGAGCCACTGAGAAGGATGGAAGAAGACTTCGAAATCAACACCACCGAACACCCCAATGGCGGGGAACAAATCAAAATCGCCCCTCAAGCCTACGGTACCTCCCTCACTTCGCGCGTCTAGCTCTTCATTCCCATCCCAACATCCTTCCTTCTTTCCGTTTCTCGTGAAGAACACCTCAATGTCCATCAGCCTTCCTTGCTGCCCTGTCTCATAGCTTGGTGGGTTCTTTGGGATTGCGAATGTCATGCCAATGCCAACGGTGTCGCCCGGCGCGAAGGCGGTCGTGAAGTCAACACCACCCCAAGTATCATTGACATATCTTCGGCCGTCGTCGCCATGCACACCGAGGCCACCACGCTGCCAGCCAGGAAGTCGGAAAGTAGGGTACGGCGGTGCAATGAAACCAACTGCAATACCTGCATCTGCCTGCTCGAGAGAAAATCCGCCTCGACCAATACCAGTCACTCTGAGTTCGAAGTAGATCGTCTTCGGTTGTTGAGTGCACAGCGGTGTATCGACGAGAGCGGAATACATCGGCAGGTTCGTCAATATGCTGGAGTCGCGGCAGTTGGCTTTGGTGCGAACTTTCCAGTGCCCAGCTTGCGGCTGTGGCATGATGTCTCCGACAAGACTCGGCGCGCGCAAGAGAGCAAGCTGCGCGTTCTGGATAGCTGCATGAGTTGACGGCTCGATGTTGTACGGCGGCCAAAGAGGATTCGCATTACACCAGTTGTATGCTCGTTCGCCTTCGTCCGTAGTCGAGTTAGCCGTTGGTGAGCTCTCGTATCCGATCGATGGCGGCGGTGGTAGAAGCGCAGTGTCTGGAATCACTTGCCAGTTATGTCGCACTGGCGCTTCGTAGCTGGGTGGTGCTTCATCAGGGTAGTGTGCAGATGGTGGACCTGGTGGAGGCGCATAGGTCGAGTTTGCAGCATGTGCTGGAGGCGGCCCTGGAGGTGCATGGTACTCTGATTTTGACGAGGACTTACCGGGGGGTGGACCTGAGGGCGCCTGATACTTCTCTGTAGATGCGGTGTATTGTTGCGAAGATGAGTAATACGGGTTGTTAGGATGTAGTTGTTGTTGCGTGCGCCCCCCGGAAACATGCTGTTGAGCCCCATTATTCTCTCCCTTGACTTTCTCTTTCAACTTCTTGAACATGATGTTGGCCTGGAGTAACGAGTAAGACGGTGGTTTGGGAACGTATTGATCAGATTCACAAGCGTGGCGCGTTTCAGACAGAGCTTGATGAAGTAAACACGGAGCTCAGTTGAGGTTTTCTGGTTTCCCTATCAAGAGGCGAACAACTGTTGATGATGCTGACGACCTTCTGTGTAACCTGAAGATAGATAGGGCGCAGCAAGAGAATAAATGTGGCTGTGGCTGTGCCATGGTCGACAAATACGACTACGTCATGCCGGCTTGGCGACATCCCGCTTCCTCCCTTCTCGAGATTCCATCCCTTTCAAAACATCCGCATCACAAAGGAATAGCAATCTTACAGCCTGGAACCGCTCACCACACTCGTACCTGCTGTTTTCCTCCGCCCCTCCAAAAGCTTGACTGGCACGTCGACCTCAACATCTCTTAACCAATCACCCATCCCCTTCGCAAAAGCGTCGAGTCTACTGCTTCCACTTACGCCTCTACCCAGCACGCCATACACCACAAAGTGCACCGCCATGATGTTTGGGAACTCAACTCGCTCGATGTAAAACTTGTCGCTCCAACTCTCGCCAAACATCTCCTGAAGCTTTGAAATCGTGAGGTAGGTACGCAGCCAGTCCCATGACTCTGCGTACAGTGGTGACGAGGCAGGATAGGCTGAGGGAAGTTGAGTCGGGATAAAGAAGCCGATGTTCGCGTTGCCACCTTTATCGCCACTACGTGCAAGCGCGATGTCGCCCAGTCTCGCCCGTGTCGTCTGGCCGAAGGATGAAAGGTCAGCAGCGTTGCGAGTCTCGTAACTCTCACGCTTACTGAGCTGCTCGAAGCGCGGCGGCGGCGTAGTGGGCACGTTGGCAACCTCCACGTCCTTGGAAGATCCGCCAGGTTGTAGGATATTGATCGATGTCTTAAGTGACGATTGTGGGTAGATTGCTGGATAGTAGGAGATATACGGCTTCGGTATCGCTGTGCGGTGGTCTGACGTACTGTGGAAGCCAGAGTAGTGCTGCATCGCGAACTCACCCATGAGGCTGGCCAGTCCGAGGTTTACGTTGGCATTACTTGCCTCCGCGAAGATGCGTAGATATGTCGTCGACCTCAGCTGGCTCTTCGGATTTGGCTCAGGCACGCCGATGCGCTGGAACTCCAAGACATCGAACTTGTCCAGTATGCCAAGCCGCTTGAGCCCAAACTTGAGCATTCGTTCGTATAGCTCGAACTTCTCAGCTGTGGCGTAGCCAGCAGCATTGACGACGATCTCGCTCTGGTAGCCAGCGGCATAGAAGACGGCAAGTTTTGTTGTTGGAGGTGGAGGAGCGCCCTTGATGCCCCAGACACGGACTCGGTTCTTCCCTTCAGCCTTTACATGCACATCGTCCAGTATTGCCTTGACATCGCTGTTCAGGTAGACATTACCCTGCAACTCGTATAGAAACTGACACTTCACAGTGTCCTCTGTTACGAAGCCTTTCTTCGCATCATGCTTCGTGATGATGCAGGTACCATCTTTCTCTACCTCGGCGATACCAAACGTGATGTCGAACAGGTCTTCTAGTGAATACTCGTAGAAGCCCGCAAAGTTCGATCCAGTCACGTACCCACTGCACTCGATTAAATGACCGGCGATAAGAGCTCCAGCGAGCTCGTCATAGTCGGTGTCGTTCCAGCCATACCAGTACCACGCCGCTCCGATCACCTACATTCATCAGAACAGGTTCAGCTCGCCACTCGAATTACATACCGGACTGGCGTCTGCGACTCGACCTGCGATGATAATATCGGCTCCCTGCTCAAGACCCTTGACGATCTCGCGAGCACCAAGATACGCATTCGCGCTAACGATTGGCTTGTCACTCTTCTCAATAAGGTCCAGCGTATGCTCCGCGACCATGACCTCGCTGTTCTCGGAGTCCAGGTGTGGCGGTAGTCCCTTCTCGCGGATATCTTTCATCTCTTCGATCAGGTTATCACCAAGCACAAACGCAACTTTCAGGTCCAGTCCCTTGCCCGTGACCTGGCGGTGATTCAGCGACTACCTCCAGGCTCTGACATCAGACTCACCAGTTCTTGCACCTTCTCTGCCAAACCTCTGGGATTATGAGCACCTCCATTGATGACCACTTTGATCCTTTTCTCGGCCAAGAGATCAATGGTCTGCTCAATTCCCTCCCACGCTGTCTGCTCCCAGCCAGGATGAGTGCCGGCAGCATGAGCTTGCGCATTCTCAGCGATGTTGACTTCGGCGAGATAGTCGCCGGTGATGAAGTCGACATCCCCAAGTTCGGCTTGGTAGCGCATGTGGTACCCAGGATCAGCTGCAGAAGATCAGCAACAAAAGTGTAAGTGGAAAATCGCACAGACCTTTGTAGCCTGAGCAATTAGCTATGCGCACTGGACGGGCACCGCGTTGAGATGTCCATCGCGTGCTGTAATTCGCTTCGGACATGGCGACAGGTGATACAAAAGGTAAACGCTTCTCTATGTCTTGCAACTTGATGAAGTTGGTGAAATTCCTTTGGCAACAATGGAATGTGTAGCCAACTGTTATATTGCACAGCTTCCAGCGCCTTTGTACGAAAAGCAGCGCACGAGACCAATGCTGCAGTGCGGGGACGCTTCTGATTGGCCAGATGGCTGAGTCGCGCATCGTGACTCGACCTCGGATCGATTGTGATGACTACTGATACACGACATGTCGTCTAGGAACTTCACACAAAAGAAACCGAGGAACGCTTCTGGTAGCCTATGAATGCCGAAATGCATCCGGCGTGAATGGGGACGATATGGGAGACTTAAAAGCCGGCACTGTCTGCTCCAACTAGACTCCAAAACTTGAGAAATACTAAAGAAACCATCCGAGATGGCGACGAACAGCGTGACTGAAGGCTCGAATGGGGTCTCAAAGAGCTTGGAAAACTATTCTATCCCCGACGAGACCCAAAAGGTCTTCAACGATGGCATCCTGAACAACCCCCTGGTCGCCTCCACGCTCCCAGACGGCATCGCTGAAGCAGCTGCAAAAGTCCGCTTCGAAGGAACTCACAAGCCCAGTATCCCGATAAACTGGCGTTTCGCAGAGAGCATCTCAGCCCTGAAAGGACTTGAAGCCGCCATGATCAACGTGCTGCTGTCACGAAAATATGGCGTCTCAGCCCAAGAAGCAGTGATTAACACGTTCGTCTCCGGCCCCCATGTTCTCCCGCCCTCTTCGTACTAATATAGCCCAGCGACCACGCGCAACTTTTCTTCATGTCCGCGCTGCTCAACACAATCGACCCCGCAGGCGAAGCCATATCCGTCTTCTCCTCGGACAAAAGCGCGTATAGCAAGTACTTCAAGGACACAGATGTGCACAACTCAGCCTCCAGCCATTACCGCACAAGCGCGACGAACATTTACCGCTGCGCAGACGGCCGCTACTTCCATCTCCACGGTAGCATGAACCCCGATCCGACGCAGGACAGCCTCAAACTACCGCACGACATGCCCTTCGCCACAGTAGAGGAGAGCTGGGAGCCCTACGCCGCCGCCGTCGGCAAGCTCCAGAGCAATGAGATGCAGACCCTCGCCAGCGACACCTTCAAGCAAGCCGGTACCATCTGCTGGACGGCCGACGAATTCCGCGCCAGCGAACACGGGAAAGCAAACGCCCACATCGGCCTCTACGACGTTCACTCTCTCGCCAATCCCACCCAGCCGCCATGCTGGTGGCCTGACGCGCCAGCCACGGGCCCCGCGCGGCCCCTCGCAGGCCTCAAGGTCCTCGACCTGACGCGCGTCATCGCCGCGCCGGCCATTACGCGCGGCCTCGCTGAGCTGGGCGCGAGCGTGCTGCGCATCACCGCGCCCCATCTCACGGACATGAGCATTCTGCACGCGGACCTGAACTGGGGGAAATGGAACGCGCATCTCGATTTCCGGGCCGAGGCCGACCGCGCAACGATGCGCGAGCTGGTGCGCGATGCGGATGTTGTCGTCACAGCGTATCGGCCGGGGGTGCTGGACAAGTATGGATTCAGCCCCGAGGCGCTTGTGGACCTGGTCAAGGACCGCGAGAGGGGCATCGTGGTGGTGCGGGAGAACTGCTACGGCTGGAATGGGCCGTGGCAGGGCCGCTCGGGGTGGCAGCAGATCAGCGATGCGTGCTGTGGGGTGAGCACCGAGTTTGGGCGGGCGATGGGGCACGACGAGCCCGTTACACCCGTGTTCCCGAACAGCGATTTCTGCACGGGGACGAGCGGGGTGGTCGGTGTGCTGAACGCGCTGCTGCGCCGCGGCGCCGAGGGTGGCAGCTGGAGGGTCGATGTGAGTAACCGCCACCATCGCTGTGTCGTGCCAGACTAACGACGCAGGTCGCACTGAATTACTACTCCCAGTGGCTCGTCAACAGCGTCGGTGTCTACCCGCAGGCTGTCTGGGAAGACGTCTGGCAGCGCAACGGCAAGCAGGTCTTCAGGCACTACCACAACATGGTGTACTTGCTGCCGCGGTTCCTGCAGATGCTGAAAGTGAACGCAGGCGACGTCGTCCTGCGGCCCGAGTTCTTCGAGACGCGGTACTCGGGCGCGATTGGCAAGGACGTGTCGTGTCCGAAGCCCATCATCCAGTTCCCGGGCGGAAAGGTCGAGTTGAAGTTCAACGTCGGCACGAGGGGGAATGGAGTCGACCAGCCGAAGTGGCCGGCGGATCTCATGACGGAGATTATCGTGTAGACTCCCCAAGCGAACAAGGCAATGCATCCAGCCCTCTCACAACACGTCAGCTTGCGATTGCTGTGCGGTTTAAACATACATGTCCGTGATCCACCACGCCTTCTCCTGCTCAATCTCCAGCCCCACGGTCCTGGACCCAACTACTCGGCCAAGGGAGCGTCTGATCAGTAGTGAGGTGATGTAGGTAGAATTGGAATTTCGCCAGGCCGTCGAGGGACGAGGTTGAGTCACGTCTCGCACTCTAACCATTTATTATACTCGGGACCTCTTGGTCGAACGTCGAAAGCTGTCAGCATTTTGATTAGCGAGAGAGGAAGGCATGAGGTGTGCACAGCTCACGTGCTAGCGCGAAACCGCGTTTTCACTAGCGCGTCGTGCCCGAACGGCTCCTTGTATTCACTTCCTAATTTTCCACGTAGAATCAACACGATGACAGCATCAACGTTAGCGAAGCCATCTCACGATTACAACAGCACTATGTCGAGCCAAAGCCTATTCGAGCCGTCTACTCCAAAATCATGCCCTCCCCATTCTCCAAATCCCTGAACCTCACATCCTCAAAATCCTCCCACACCTCCTCCCCACGCGCCTCCCCGCGCGCCGCACTCACCGCATCCCCAACCGTCCAGACAGTCCTTTTCAGAAACCAACTGATAAATCCCCCTCCCCTCTTAACCTCATCGTGCGTCGCAACCCAGTACCGCGCGCGCAGGAGGCGCTGCGCGAGCACCCCGTTCGTGCCGCCGAGATTGAGCTGCTGCGCGCCGCCGATGCGGACGTCGTGCAGCCCGTGCAGGAACGCGAGGACCTTCAGTTCGGGCTCGGCGGACGCGACGGGGGTCAGCGCCGCATGCGGGATGCCGTGGGGCGTGTATATGACGGCCTCTGCGGCGTCGGTGGAGGGCGCGGGGAGGGCTTCGTGGCCGTCGCTGTTTATGGAGAGTGAGGAGCGGGGCTTGCGCGGTGTGCTGGATAGGAAGGGGTGGGTTGCGAAGGTTATTAGAAGTGCGGAGTGGTAGTATAGTGAGTCTTTTTCGGCGGTTAGGCGGCTTATGCTGAGCCAGGATGGGAGGGGGGCGAGCGAGACGTCGCGCCAGTCGCTGCCGGTGGTGAAGGTGGGTGTTGTGGTTACGCTGCGGAAGTGCGACCAGGAGGAGATCAGCTTGGATGCTTCCTGGGCGTGTCAGCGCGTGGTGCGATTGAGGCGTGGGCGTGGGGGACGCACCGGTGTTGCGAAGACGGGCACGTCGCGGTGCACTTCGAGCAGCGTTTCCTTGTGGCAATGGTCTGTGAACTCGTGCGAGATGGCGACGGCGTCAATCAGCGTCTCGTCGTCTGCGCCGGCGCGCCGCTTGCTGCCCCTGCGCATTCCGCCAGCCAGCAGTTCGACCTGGCGCACCGTCTCCTCGACGTCGGCGATGCTCTGCACCGCGCTCGGGGTGGCGTGCCATTGCTGCGAGAACCACTTGGCGACGTCCGACTGCCCGCCGACGAACCACGGGTCGATCAGGATGTTGTAGTACACGCGGCTGCCATGCTTGACGGCGTTGGCCGGCCGCGGGATCTGCAGCAGCCAGGACGTGTCGGCGTTCAGGTGGTGGAGGAGCGGACGGCGCGTTGCGAGCGCTCGGACGACGGCGTCGCGGGTTTCGAGGTGGAGCTGTTCCGAGGGCTCGTCCATGGAGGCGACCGGTGTTGGCCTTCACCGCAGCGCAGTGACGCGTTTGTGTATAAAGTCATGGTGACAGGCGCTAGCGGGCGCGGGCGCGTGTACGACGCAGGGACCAGTGTCCAGTTTGGGACGTCACCGTGAAGAGCCCGGCACTATTTCGCCGCTGTATGATGGGATCGATTGCACGTGATGTTTGTGATTCTAGTGTTTTGAAGCACCGTGGCTTGCAGACACTGGGCTACTCGCGTCACACAACATCTGTACGACATGTTGGACGTTTGATTCGTCGTTCTCCAACTCTTCAACACAAGTCAGCCCCGTCTTCACCGCATGAAAATCCAGACTGAAATTCGAACCTTGTTCGCTGGTAGATTGACCTTGCTATATACTACACGAAGCACCCTACCTGCTGTTACCCTAGCCGCAGTCAAAGCTGCCCAGAACGCCACGCAATGCAATGCTACGACGAATCCCCAACATGATAAACAAACAAGCGCCAATTTTGGTGGGTACAAACAAGATCGTGGAGCCAGTCGGTCGTGTAGAAGCAGATCGTGTGTGTGAGCTGGTGCGTGAAGACGAGGAGAAGAATGGTAAGATCAGGGATCGGTCGGCGGACCACGGAGGTCGCCAGCGTACTGCGTCACCTAGGTCGATGGCATGGATTCGTTGTACTTCTTGGAGAGCGCCTCGGCGACTTCTGCACTCTTCACGGCGAAGTAGACAGGGGTCAGGCCCTTGTCCTTGCCCGGGCGCGTGGCCTGAACCATCTTGCGACTACCCCCAGCAACAGTCGATCGAAGCGCAGGCAGAATCTGGTAGTTCAGAGGCGTTGCGCCGCTGGGAATGCGAATCCGGACAAAGCACTTGCCACTGACCTTGTCCTTCAGGATCCAAAGAGGGCCACGCGCAAAGTTCTCCCACTTCTTGGTGCCGTCGCCTTGGTCCACTTGCTGCTTGGCCAGAGCAAGGTCGATGTGGAAGACGACATCAGTCGTCTCCTTCTCCTCGTCCGTCAGCTGCGACAGATCAACCTGCTCGTGCTTCTCGCCCTCCTCATCATCGGCGGCTGCTGAGTCCTTGTTCGCCTCAGTCTCAGCTGCTGGCGTGCCAGCGCGAGAAGAGAAGACTGACGACGGGGCTGAGCTAGGAGCCGAGGCGCCAAAGTTGGGCGGAAGCAATGAGCCGCCCGCGCCACCAAAGCTGAACAGGCTGCCGGATGGAGGTGGCTTCGCTGGAGTCGTGGAGAACTCGGCTGGCGAAGGTGTAGCCGGCTGGAACTGGAACGTTGGGCCATCCTTTTTCTTTTCGGTAGCTGGAGCACCGCCGAATTTGATCGGGCTACCGGCCTTGAACGTCTGGTCACCAGCGAAGGCGTTCTTAGGAGGCGCGGTGTTGGCGCCGGCGGCGTCGAAGTTGAAAAACGCAAATGGCTTGTTGGTAGGGGTCGAGGTCCCGTTGGTCTGACCAAAGATGGAGCCAGGCTTGTCGTTCTCCTTTTCAGATTCGCTGTCTGCATCGTCGGCCCTGGTCATGCGGGAGAGCAGGCTGCTCTTCTTGGGGACAGTGTCCTGCGTCTTGCTAGACGCGTCATCCGACTCAGTCTCCGAGTCGCCAAGCTTGCGCTTGGGCGATGTAGATCCTGTGAAGCCAACCACATGCGACTGGTCGTCGTGCTCCTCCTCGTCCTCATCGGTGTCGTCCTGGTGGGCCGACGAAGGACCTGAAGAGAGGTGACCAAACAGATTACCCGATGGGCTCGGTGCAGCAGGTGTGTCAAACACTGAGCGTGCACCAGATGTAGATGGCGCCGGGCTGGCAGGACGGAACAAGCTGGGTGTAGAGGCCCCGCTACTTGACTTTGCAAGACCGGCAAATAGGTTGGTGGAGGCAGCCGGCTTGGGCTCAGCGGCCTTCTTCGCAGTCTCTGGTGTCGGTGTAGTGGCGCCGGACGGGTTGGTAGAAGCCGGCAGACTGAAGCCGCTTGCAGATGCGACCTCCTCCTTCTCCTTCGCAAGACGCTCGGCCTCTTGCTGGTCATATCGTGCGCTCCACTCTTCCTCAGTCTCGTCGTCCGAGTCGTAGTCCTCGTCCTTGGCCTTCTTCTTGCGTTCAGCCGCGAGCTGCTCGTATGTCTTCGCGTTCTTGGCAAACGCGGCCATGAAGTCAGTGGGTCCAGCGCTCGAGCTGCCACCGAATGTCGGTGTGAAGCCACCTGACGAAGCAGCTTTGGGCGCGCCGAATGATGGAGTGAAGCCGGTAGACGCTGTGGACGTCTTTGGTGCGCCAAAGGAGGGAGTGAAGCCGGAGGATGTGGCTGCTGGTTTGGCAGCATTCGTACCGTTTGTGGCACTGAATGCCGGGGTGGACTGAGGAGCTGCCGAGCCGGTTGAAGCGCTGAAGGACGGGGTGAATCCAGAAGTGCTCGGCTTTAGCGCAGAGGGGCCAGCAGACGCGCTGAAGGAGGGGGTGAAGCCAGTGCTGGGCGCAGCGGCCTTTGGTGGCTCGGGCGTGCTCTTCTCGGGTGTCGCGCCCTTGCTGATGGCCTTTGAGAACAGGTTCGATGTCGCAGTTGCGGGAGGTGCAGCCTTGGGGGTCGTTGTGGAGGATGTCGACGACTTCGGTGTCGGCGTAGAGGGCTCGGTAGGACGTGAGCGCTTAGATGCTTCCTCCAAGGTCTCCTCGCTGACCTTGCGCTTGGTGGAAAGTGCCGACTCGAAGCCCGTAACGCCCTTTGCCATTGCTCGCTGCTTCTTTGCAGTGTCGATCTTGGTCTTGAGCGAGCGCGATTGATTGTGGTGCCATATTGACAGAGCTGACCAGTCGGCCAACGGAGAAACGTTGGTGATCATCTCACGGTACTTTAGGTTCATGTGTTGGAGTTGCGTGGCCAGTTGAATGATGTAGTTGGAGGTCTCGTCTGCGCTCTGTGGCGCAGCAAGCTCCTCAACAGCCCAGTCCTTTGGCACGTTGAGCTTGCCAATCTTGGGCAGCTGTGGTGCCGATGTGTCCAAGGCGGGTGCTACAGACTTCGCCGGGGTGGGTGATGCAGGTGGCTGCGCCTTTGGTGTGCCGAAAAGGCCTCCACCGCCGCTCGAAGAACCTGGAAGGCTTGCAAAGGGGTTGTGAATCTCCTTGGCGGGAGGCTGCTGAGCTGGTGTATCCTGCGTAGCTGGCGCCTCCGATGCTTTGGATGGTGTGGCTGGCTCCTGGCTGCTGGATGCACCGAACGTGAAGCCAGAGCTTGCTTTGGGCGGCGCCGTGAACATGCCGGCCTTTGCCTGCTCGTTCCCAGCCGTCTTCGCAGGCTGGGGTGTGCCGAAACCGCTGAACAAATTCGGCTTCGGTGCCTCGGGTGCCTGGAAGAAGGATGTGCTCGCAGGCTTCTCGCTCTCCTTTGGAGCGGTATCCTTGTTCTGTGATGCGCCGAACATGCTGCCAAAGTCCGGCGCTGGTGTGCTTGCCGGCTTGGGGAGTCCTCCAAAAGGATTGTGGCTCTTCGATGTCTCGGGTGCGGCGCTGCTGGCTGGTTCTGCGGGCTTTGCGCTGTTGAAGAAGCTCGGGGTCGCGGGCGCTGGCTCTTGCGCCTTGGGCGTCTCCTGAGTCTGGCCAAAGCTGAACTTTGGTGTGCTGTCGGCTGCCGCGTCTGCTGGCTTTGATGTCTCCTGTGTCTGCCCGAAGCTGAACTTTGGTGCCGAATCCTGCGCCTTGGGTGCTTCCTGTGTCTGCCCGAAGCTGAACTTTGGTGCCGAATCCTGCGCCTTGGGTGCTTCCTGTGTCTGTCCGAAACTGAACTTGGGCGTGCTAGACTCTGCAGGCTGTTGCAGGCCCGAGAAGAGGCTGCTGGCAGGCGCGGGAGCGGGTGTGCTGGCGCCTCCAAACATGTTGGTAGCTGGCACAGGGGTGGCAGGCTCCGCGGGCTTTGGTGTCGCTGCACCGCCAAAGGTGAAGGTGGGCGCGGCTGCAGCCGCAGGCGTGCTCTCGCTCTTTTGAGCATCTGATGTCGCGCCGAATCCACCAAACGCGGGTGCTGCCGCTGGAGTCGCATTGTTCTGCCCACCAAAGCTAAAGATACCCGTAGAGGCAGTCGCGGGGGTGCTGGCCGGGGCAGCAGAGCTGGTCGCGCCGAACTGGAAGCCGGACGTGCCGTTGCTGGCCGGGGCAGCGGGCGTCGCGCCGAACTGGAAAGCCGTGGTCGATGGAGTCGCGTTTCCTCCAAAGCTGAACGGCTGCGCGGCCGGGGCTGGCGTGCTTGGTGCGGCGGCTGCTGACGAGCTGGCATCCCCGAAGCTGAAGGCGGGTGTAGACGCGCCGTTTGTTGTGCCAAACATGCCGGGCGACGCTGATGCGCTGCTTGTGTTGTTCTGGAGTGCACCGAACGGGTTGCTCGCAGGCTGGCTGCCAAACACCGAGCCCGAGCCGCCGTTCTGTGCGCCGAAGGGGTTTGTTGTGGATGATGCGGGCGAAAAGGCAAAGCCAGCTCCAGACGGCTGGCTGCTGCTCTGGGTGCCGGCGCCGAAGGTGAACGAGTTGTTCGCGAACATGCCGTTGGCGTCGGACGATTGCGCAGGCGGCGGGAAGGTGCTCGTGGTGCTGCCGCCAAAAGCCCCTCCGCCAAACATGCCCCCAGAGGCGTTCGCGCCGTTGTCGCCTCCAACGGGCGTCGACGCACCAAAGCCGAAACTAGCTGTTGGCTGACCTGCACCAAAGTTCGCGCTCTGTGAGAGTCCCTGGGTCGCGTTAGCAAGAGCGCGTTGGTGGAGCAAATTCCGCGTTCGCACGGCCTTGCGGTGCGCGGGACTGTATTTGTCGACCATGGCGTCGGCGGCGGTGGTGGTGGATGCGATCGCGGTCGACGGCGAGTGGACGAGAAGGACTTACAGACGAGGCGCCGGCTGCGCGGCGGGGCTTTGCCGTCTTGATCCTGCGGGGCGACAGTCAGCGCGTGAAAGTGAAGGGCGCAGAAGATGCGCGGAGGCCCTCGAGTCACGGGGTGGATGAAGGGCACCTACTTGCGCGCGGCCAATTGAGCAGCCGTCGCCCGCTGAGGAATCTCGGCAGGCTCGTCACGCTCGTTGTACGGCTCCTCTGGGCGGCCCTGGCCGAAGAGGTTCGCGCGTTTGCCAGACATGGTTGCGCCGGGATTGGGTTGACGTGCGGCGCGCGGATGGTGATGGGTCTGCGATGGCAGGGAAATTGTTTTGACCTTCGGACGGTGTTAAGAGGAGGGTGCACCGTGCGGCGACGTCACGCTAGCCTCACAACCTCGCAGCGTCACAACCTTGCAGCGTCACAACCTCGCAGCCGCACACCCTCGCAGCCGCACACCCTCGCAGCGTCACAACCTAGAGCAGAGGCAGTCGACGCATTTGCCTAAGCCTACAGTCACTGCCTACAGCCACTGCCTACAGTCACTGCCTACAGTCACTGCTCTACTACAAAGTACTATTCCTGAACTCCGTAAACAAGTCTGGACCTGAGCATCTCCATATGCATATCCACATCAGCCGCCTCCACCCCGACTCTGGAGGCGTTCAACCACTCACTGAAGGTGTTGTCTCAAGAACCATGTTGTCGTCCAGGGAACGAAAGACTGCAGAATGAGACTCACAGACCTGACAGCCGACCGAGGTCTGGGCCATCATTCTTAGAGCCCATCGCCTATTGTCAAAAATGTCTCCAGAGTTGCATCTATTTTCGTGGTTGCGTGTTCGTGATGATCATGTCCAGGACATGCATCTTTCACCTTGATCTGCAAGTAGCATTCGCTCGAACCAGCCATCTGCCGCGGCGACAATCAAGATTTCACTCAATGAAGTAGTCCGGGCTTGTCTCAACGACGCGCTCGAGCGGTATAACGAAAGTAAAAGTAGCAGTGGCAACGTTCTGGGAGTGCGTGCTGGGGAATCGTCTTGGGAACCACCAGGCTCTTGCTGCTGTGAAGCAGCGTTCATGCTCCACCAACTCTGCTCACGAGGCTACGGCACCCAGATGGCAGTCACTGAACGGTCGACGTCAAAGAGCGTGAAGATGTGAAGATGTGAAGATGTGAAGATGTGAAGATGTGAAGATGTGAAGATGTGAAGATGTGAAGATGTCAAGATGTGAAGATGTAAAGATGTAAAGATGTAAAGATGTCAAGATGTGAAGATGTAAAGATGTCAAGATGTGAAGATGTGAAGATGTGAAAGATGTGAAGATGTGAAGATGTGAAAGATGTGAAAGATGTGAAAGATGTCAACACAGCGCCGGCCGGAGATGCAGGGTACCTGGGTCCCGGGTGCTGCATGCGAGTGATGATCCAGACGTCCGGCTTACCGTGGGCTGAGACGCGGGGGACCTCGAACCACGGCGAGCGTGCTCACGAAGACGACAGTCAGCTGCGAGCCATGAAACAACGACCCATCAGTCGACATGGCAACATCGGATGGAGCTCCGCACGGTGTCATTGCATGATTGCACTATTCTACCAGACCTGCGTGCACTGCGCAGCACACGCGCAGGGCCAGAGCAGCAAAGTCAGCTTTTCAGCAGTCGGTGAGCGCGGAGGCTAGGCAGATGGGTCGCGGCCTCGCGCTGCGGTTTGCAGGATGATCCGGCTGCGGGTGCCGCTGCAGCAACGCTGCCACCCACCTCGACGCCGAGACGCTGCCAATCACCTCGACGCCGAGACAACTGCGGTGCCACTGCTTGCGCGTTGGGGTCGCCTCTCTGCGGCGACCCCTCAGCACGACGGCGAATGGCGTGTGTGCGAGCAAGTGCAAACGCGAGCGACTCGAGACGCTCAAACAAAGCAGTAGTGCTCACCGTCGTTCGGTGGATACAGGCTCTGGTGGATCCGGCGCCGCGGCCAGGCGTCTGCGCGCTGCGATTCGACCGTGGGCGCATCTGGGGCTTATCGTTTCGACCATGGAGTCGCCGTCCTGCTAGTCTTCCCCACTGCAGTGACTGCACCGCACTTGGTGCTGCGGCACAGTCTCATATAAGCAGCAGCGCCTCTGCTTGCGTCTGCATTGATCTGTTGATCGGTTGATCGGTTGAGCCCGAGGTTCCCACGATCACGACGAGATTGATCGTCTCTGCGCATCTCCCCGGAGCACCTCTCCAGCGCACCGTGCCGCGCCCTGCTTCTTGGAACAACCCGGATAGTCCGGTAGCGACTGAACCAAGTGCCCAGCGACCCGCTTGACCAGTGCAGCCAGCGCAGGTCGTGGTTTCGTCACCGGTCCCATCTCCTCGCGGCCTCAATACCTGTCGACACGGCCGTTGCTTGGTGATAGATGCTCGTGCTACGTTCCCCTCCACCGCCCGGTCCTCTATTTACACCTGACATGCCCTGGTAACACGGCGAGTGTCCAGCACCACCACCATGGTCTCCTCCCGCGCTGCGCACCTGGGGCATGCGCGGCTGCACAAGCGCGGCCACTCGGCCTCGTCGTCGCTGGCGAGCCCGCTGAGCCCGCTGGGCCCGCTGAGCCCGGTTGTGGACGGCGGCGCATTCACGTTCAGTCGCTCAGAGACGCCCAAGACGACCATTGAGGAATGGACCGAATTGCCGCGCCAGACGCCGGCAAACACGTCCTCGCACCCACTCAACATCAAGCCGTACGTGCGGAAACTGTCGTCCAAGAACGCAAACTCGCTGGACCTCTCGCGCCCGGCGGCTGAGAACGAGAGCCTGGCAAGCCTCGGCATCGCCGCCGAGTACAGTGGACCGTACTCGCGCTCCATCTCAGACGTCCCTTTCAGCCCCGTCAGCGGCCGCCACCGACACACCCGCTCGACCTCGAACAACTCGCAGTTCTCGACGTCGTCGGCTGGGCTGACACGCCCGACGCCCATGCCGGCCATGCGTCCGACGCCGCAGCCCACCGCCTACCTGCCGCCCGCCTCCAGGTCGTCGCCATCGTCGGAACTCGGGGCAGAGCACGCGGGCGACGACATCATGTCCGACGAGGAGTTCCGGGTGCGACAGAACGCGTACGAGCCCGGGCGCCGCTCCGGCTCAATGTCCTCTGTCCCCGGCGCATCCCTGCGCATCCACACCAACAACTCCAGCACCCGGCTCGCCAACAACTACTCCCAGTCCACCATTTCCCTGACTTCACCCGTCGCCCAGGCGCGCTCCCGCGGCGACACGCTCAAGTCCATCGACACGACCACCTCGCCCAGCTCACGCACCTCGTTCGACCAGGGCCTGCGCTTCATCCGCGGGGGCCGCGACTCGCCCATCGACGCCGCATCGCGCGCAGCCTCGATCCGCGCCGCGCGCGCCAAGTTCGACGAGGAACAGCTCGCCAAGGAGCGGCGGTACGAAAAGGAACTCAGCAAGCAAGCGGAGCGGGACTCGCGCCGACAGGCCAAGAGACAAGAACACCAGCGCCGCAAGTCCGAGGCGACGGACCGCGCAGACTACAAGCGCAGCCGCAGCGTCTCCGACTCGGCGACCAACGAGAAACAGCCCCGTCCCAGCGTCGGCGGCAGGCAGTACTCGGACCACCGCGAGGCGCATGTCAACAGCCTGCCGAAGCACGTCAGCACTGTTGATCTGGAGAAGGTGGGCGTTACGCCTGAGGTTACGACCAAGCGCGCGGCGAAGGGGCGGTGGCTGAGCTTCGTCACCTGGTTCAAGACGCGACTGCTGAGGATGTCGAGGAAGGTGTCTACGTAGCTGCGCGTCGTCGGGGAGGATGTCGAGGGCGGTGTCGACGTAGCTGGGCAACGTACCTATTTGGGGTCGACCTGGATCCACTCCACCACCTTTGCCACGTCGACGTGCATCCATCATCATTATCACCATCGGGCATCTCCATCTCTCCACCAAAGCCCGGATCACCCTGACCGGGCTCGCTCCCTCACCACCCATCCACGGCGTAACGGCGGACGGCCTCATGATTTGATGTTTTTTTTTTTTTTCGTTGCCTTCTGACGGTGCTGCATCTTCGCGCGCGTGTTTTGCATATATACCTAGCATTCGCTTTCTGGCGCTTGGGTTGGGCTGGGCTGTTTGCCCCTGTTGGGATTCAGCGTCGAGTGGCTGTTTACATGTGGCTACGTCATCCATATCCATCCATATTCGTGTCCGTGTCCACGTCCATGTCTTTGCCTACGCACCTCGTCAAAGTGAAGCGTCTAGATAACAGCACGATTCATGTCAACACCATCTCGCACACCTTGTTGAAGTAAACTGTCTAATTAAGAACAGCACAGTTGATGTCAACACCATCTCGCACACCTTGTTGAAGTAAACCGTCTAATTAAGAACAGCACAATT